TATCCCTCCCCCCACCCCCACCGGCCAAAAAACTAGTTTCCCAATACATATATATCATCCCAACCCACCTCTTCGCTTAAATACCCCTCACCCTCACCCTCTCTCCTCCATCTGCATCTGCATCTGCATCTGCATCAAACCCCAGAATATCCGTTTCTATACTACATACAGAGAGACCCATTTATTTTATCATCTAAATACACAAGTCTCTACTCTATATACTTGCAAAACAAAAGAGTAATAGTACTACTGTACAAGTACCTGTAAGTAGAGTATATGAGCATTGAGTTGTAGATACAATATTATGCATGTAATGTACTCCGGACGAGGGTAGAGCAGGTGGGCAGATGAGAGCACGGAGTCGAGAAGAAAGTATGGGATTGGAAGATTGGAAGGACAGGTATAATCGCGAGGACACATATCAATACATCGTACAAGGCACAAACTCATCTTTAAACATCTCGTTTCAACTCAATCGTACTGTATTAGCCCGCATGGCAAGACCCTACATCATTTATCTACTACACCTAAAGTTGTCTATTAATTGTACTGAACTGCATTGCATTTGCACTGCGTCGCATACCAAATCATAATCATATCCTCTATCTCTGGTTCATTATAAGATCCAGAGTTTATCCATCCCATTCATTGCAGAAAACCCAGAAGATGTGTGTGCATGCATGCTAGGTATGTCGAGTGTGCTCCATCCCAAAACGCCTTAATGCTTAGCGGTGACCGTTTCACCTGTCAATTTCTCGACATAAGCTTTCGCCCTATTGACATTATATTAGTATATGTTCTTGGGCCGTATGCTTAAACGAGTCAAGCAAGAGAAGGAGAAGAAACTTACATATCACCCATAGCAACCATACAAATAGTTTGCCAAACGCCCAAACCAATTCTAGGAACAACGCCACGATAAAGACCCGAAATCCCGTTCTGACCGTAAATATACTTGAAAGTGTTGCCGACCGTCATCTTAGCCGGACGGTTAGGATCTACCGTCTTACTCTGCATCTCGACACGAATAACCTCAATAGGTTGATTCCAAGCACTCAACCCACCACCCAATCCACTTGCCAGAATCTTCTCCCAAGCATTCAACTTTCCATTCTCGCCTTTTCCAGTCACCTTTCGAATGCCACTTTCCGCCAATCGACTCAATCCGAAACGACTACCCCAGTTTGTCATTTGTCGAATGGCGACGGCATTGACACCTTTGTTAATTCCCTTGATACCTTCCTTGCGGTAGATGTTCATGAAGGTGGTCATTGTACCATCGGGCTTCACACCGGCCTTCGCCATGTTGGTCTTGGTGATTTCGACTGTTTTCATGCAGGTGCAAAATCCCATGGTAGCGTAAGCTTGAGCGACACCACCAGTCACACCTCCGGTGATACCGGCAGTGAATTCACCAGCGCCGAAAGAGCGGGCGTACCATTCGGCTTCGGAGGCGACGAACAGAAGGACAGCGCCTTTGGTGGAAGCTTCGATCCAGGCCCATGGAATGAGACCTTGGTAGACTATGGTGGGGTTATTGTCAGCTGTAATTCCCGCAGATTGGAAATATGAAGAAAAATGCTTGAGTCGAATTATTCTCACAGCATAAACGTGAAAGTTATCAAAGAAAAATAAACAAGAAGAAAAAACATACATCCAAGAACACCACCTCTACCCCAAATTCTACCCAGCGCGCCGGCGAAAGAGTCTCCTCTGTTGGCAGCCATAGTAGTCTTTGTAACCTCCAATGGCTGGCCCAAGGTCGTAACCTCGAAGAGATTCAAACTAGCACCCAAGAGCAAGTTTGAGAACTTGACAGGTTTCTTCTCTGGGATAGCTGGTTTGCTGACAATGGGCATGTTGGCTGTGACGGCGGACATGATAAGGTAGATGTTGTTTTGATTGGGGCCCTGACCAAGGGAAAAGGTTGCTTCTTCGCGGTAAAAGGGTGGTGAGTTTGAGGATTATTGGAAAGGGAGAAGAGAGATTGATGGGTTGTTGGAAATGTAAGTAAGAGGAGGAAGGGAAGAGGTTATAGGTTATGTGTTTAGATCTATTTACTTAATACTCGTAGGGAAAATGAGAAGCTAGTGAAAGACCAGGTGGGACCCTATTTATTGACGGGTGCCGGTATGTGGCCCCTGATAAGATAGAGATACAGGGTGTCGGAATTGTTGATATTGCGATTACTGAAACCTTGAGGGGGGTGAATATGAGAAGAAATTGAATCAAGGAAAATGTCGATGAAAATGCTATTGAAAGAAAACCCTATAATCTAATTGTTTACATTGTGCCATTTCATTCAAAACTACAACCTTCTATGCCAGAAAACCTTTATACTCTCCAACACCACGACAATAAATAGGGTAAGCTAGAATTACTGAATTATTGAACCTCACTAAATAATCCCAACTCGGGCCCCCGAGCCCTTCCTCTCCTCCCGCCTTGCAACCTTATTTGGCTAACCATACCCTACCAAGACAACTACTCGGGCACTAGAAGAAAAGAATGGAACAACCTTGAAAGCCTCGGCCATTTGTTGAGAAGCTCAAGCTCAACGAATTGCATGTGTTGGTTCATCATTACCTTATTATAGACTTGATAATTAGTGTTTAGTATTTACTCATACAATTATATACTAGGTACGTATTGTGTGTATTTGGGGAACTCCGGTTGGAATTTATTATTAGGTACGTACCTGGTACTTGGTTTATTTGTAGTTCTTCTGCTCCCGTGCATTTGAGATCGGGATCTCAGGAAATATATCGGGATTGGAAGAAGCAACTGATCTCTGTTTTTTGTCTTACTATTGGCTTTTCCAAGAAGTCTGTGATTGCTGGCATATGCATTACATAGATAGATACCTAGGTACACCAGTACTACCGAGTAGGTACCTACTGTACCTATTAGTTTTGGTCAAGTTAGATCTTTGATTAGTATTAGCGTACTAAATACGTGCTTTGCTGCCCGGCAGGTCATCGGCACGTACGACATCACGTTGCCAGTGCTATCTATATGCATTCCTAAGGGTTTAACCATAATTTTCTTTGGTTCCGGCGTTTATGGTTTGATATAGAGAATGTTGATGATCTATTTATGATCAAAAGTTGGATTTCATTCATTCGCCTATTATAAGAACTAACGTGGGTTATTGTCTTCCCTTATTTCTAAGTGCTCGGGTATATCTCTCCTGTAGTCAAAATACCTTCCAACAACCATTATTGCGACTGCAAAACAACATTCACCTATGGGAGACCCATAACACACTCTTCAAGAGTCAAGAAAAAGTTTACTTATTCAGATATCTCTTTCTAAACGCCGCCAAGGTACCGCCGTTAGTGATTCCAATATATTTAAGTTTTAAAAGCTTCAAAGTTGCTTCACAATCGCCCCGAATACCAGTCAAAGCAGCTTCATTTTTGGACATCCAGGGCTATCTTTTTCTATTTTGAGGAATGGATAGATCGTCGCCCTCCAAAAATAAAGTCAAAGACCTTTCACAATGCATCTTCTTGGCTGCGTTAGTTGCATCTAATTCCATCCTCGTCTCCATATCTGTCCCACTGATAATCATGTCATCTTTGAACTTTGCCTGAGAACCTACTCTCCTGTTAACGACAGCAAAAGATTCCCAACTCGAATCAACTATCCAAAATGCCGTTCTGTTGCCGATTTCACATTGAGCTTTTAAGAGACCCGACAGTCATAAGTAAAGACAGGTGGGTAATTATTCGAGATGGCTTGATTTTGAATAACCAAGTTAATGTTGACACGTGAATCGAGGTGTGTGGTTGGAATGGGCCGGATGTTTGGACTGTTTTAGATGTTTAAGCTACTGCTGGAGTTTGGGACATATTGGGAGAGTAATCGAATGTCTAAATCAGGTTACATGTATGAGAGGGGTCGCTACAGCCAATTCCCATTAAAATGTGGTGTATCATGTCTTTGTCGAACCTTGGATATTTCAACAACACATAAATTAAATAGTTGATAGTGGAGTTCAATTATTGAGTGAAAGCAGGCTGACGAATGTACACAGGATCATCGTGAGGATAAGTTGAAGTGCGTGATCCTGCTCTAGGACACCTTCAACGCAACTTCTTGAAAAAAACGGTTCTACAATTTTACAATGGTTGGTTCTATCCGTCTACGCCTCTCATCTCCTTTTGGTCATTAATTCAGGGCGCCCATGGTATCCTACTAATTTTACCTACCCCCCATTCCTTTACTATCCTTTTTACAACTTGGCTCCAACAATCTCGGCCCACTTCTCGGTGGAGAAGGACTTGGGGCGCTCAATTGGGGCTCCAACAGCTCGGTCGATAATCAATTGTGGAAGGACACCAATAGCACGGGAAACACCGAAAAGAACGGTGTAGTAGTTGGCCTCAGTCAAACCATAGTATTGGAGCAAGACACCAGAGTGCTAGAGAAACGTCAGTTATTGCATATGGATTTTTGGGAATGGTTGTCAACTTACAGCATCCACGTTAGGGAATGGGTTCTTGGCTGTAAAGGAGAAAGAAATATAAAGTTAGTGAAGATATTCCAAAATTGGTCGGGGCAGATGTGAGGGGTATGACAGGGGTAGGGAGGGGTTAAGGAAATGCGGGGCGGACATCCACCCCCTCCATAACCACGGGTATCATCCAGAATATAGAATGTACTTACTCTTTCCGTGCTCAGTGAGAACACCTGGGGCAATCTTGTAAACCTGGGCTGACAAGCTTGTACATAGGGTCTGCGAATGTTTGTTAGTATAAAATTGTTAAATCACGTGATCATCCATGACTTACCCGCTGGCAAGTGCTTCTCGGCAAATTCTCTCTGGGCCATGTAGCGGGGATCGGTCTTGCGGAGAACGGCGTGACCGTAACCTGGAACAACTTGACCGGCGTTAAGAGTAGACCACAAGTAGTTCTTGATGGCCTCATCACTAAGGTCATCACCAATAGCAGCCTTCATCTTGGTGAGCCAGTTCAAGACTTCTTGGTTGGCAAGTCCGTGGAGAGGACCAGCAAGACCGTTCAAACCAGCAGCAAGAGACAACATTGGAGAGCTAAGAGCAGATCCAACCAAGTGAGTGGTGTGAGCAGAGACGTTACCACCCTCGTGATCAGTGTGGATGGTGAGGTACAATCTCATCAACTCAATGAAGTCCTTGTTCTCGCCAAATCCGAGTTGGTTGGCAAAGTTGAAGGAGTAATCCTTGTCCTTTTGGACAGCAGCGACCTTTCCGCCCTTGAAGACGTTTTGGTAGATTCTGGCGGCAATGGTGGGGAGCTTGGCGATTAAATCCATTGAGTCCTCGAAAGTGTGACCCCAGTACTCTGTCTTCTTCATTCCCTTAGCATAAGCCTTGGCGAATGCGGACTCGTGCTCAAGAGCAGTGACAGCGAGGGAGAATTGTGCCATTGGGTGGAGATCGCTTGGGCATCGGTCGATGAGCTCTTCGACGAATTTTGGTACGTCGGAACGAGCGGCCCACTCAGCGGAAAGATCGCGAACTTGTTGCTCGCTGGGGACTTCACCGGTCAAAAGGAGCCAGAAAAGACCTCGGGTTCTGTTAGCAACCGCGCAAGAAAATGGACGTCATATTAATTTTTTACCTTCTGGCAAAGGCTCTTGTCCACCTGGTGCCTTTGGGAGGAGTTCCTGGCACTCTGGAATAGTCTTTCCTCTGAAACGGATACCCTCCTCGGAGTCGAGAACTGAACCTTCCCAGACTAATGACTTGATACCACGAGCACCACCGTAGACTTGGTCCAAAGTAACCTCGCCAACGACCTTGCTTCCATAACCCCTGCGAGTATAAGTATATATAAATGCTATGTGTGCCGTTTTTCGGTCATCGATAAGATAGATTTTTCTTACTTGCGGAGAGCCTTGATTTGCTCAATCTTCTCTGGGAGTTGCTCGGCGAAACGCTCCTTCAAAGTCTAGAGGTAAAGAATAATTAGTAAAAATTTACCTGTGTGCATGACGGAAGGTTTCGAGTATACCTGAGTTTTCGATGAATAGCATCGCAAGCTATTAAAGGCAGCGGACTTTGCACCGAATGTTGGAGCTCTAATGGATGCTCTAAGAGCAGCTTGACCGATACGAAGGGATGCCATCTTGAAAGCTGTGTGGTAATTGCAATAAAAAATGCAAAATTGTAGGTATAATGGAGTAGAAATTTAAGAACAGATTCCGGCTTGTGGACGGAGAAAAAGCTAGGAAACCCGCTAGCGTTGAGTTGAGACCGACCAAACCAATGTAATATGCACATTGACAGAATCTTACAGAAAAAGCTTCCCCTACATGAACTACGTCAACCTTTGATATTATATCAACACGAGTTATTCCGAAATGTGAGACGGAAATCCCCACAAATCGCAGAAATTACAAAAATCAAGCAATTTCATTCATTTAATTGGTTAGTGGAATCGAGAACGACTTTTACTCCGCACAACTGCTATTTTATTATAATGAAATACCGTATGGATATGGCGGGACAGAGTGAGTGTAGTAATTTGCGGTGGTTATATTAAAAAGCAGTGAAAAGAATCCGCAAAGTGAATAATTACTGAGTGAGTCCAATTCATACTCCTCCGTACATACTAGGTACGTACCTAGGTAGATATCGTATCTACCAAGATGTTCATTATATAGAAAAGAATTCAACTTCAACAGGTGTTGTACATTCCTCTCGTTTCAACTGCCTTCAACCAATCATCCTCTTTGTTTTGTCTCATTTTTTACATTTTTGAACTTCTTCCGTCCAACTCTTCTATTCAACCATTCATATCATTCACTTTCTTGACCTCGGTTGAATTACTTTTGCTTGAGTGAAACATCCATCGATGATTATTCTGTACCATTCACGTGATCTTGAGATATGGATGACTAACTAGCGGCATGAAAAACAAGCCCTTCCCTTTTACTTAATGATTAATCGAGCCATCGAAGCTACTTCAAGTTCCAACCTTTTTTCAACATCAACAACTTCAATCTTCCCAAACTTATTTGGTTCCATCTACTTGCACCTGAGGTAATCTACCAGAAAAAGAAAAGTAATCAAAACATCGTTACATTAGTAGCGATTTCTACCTTCTGCCACAAATTTCTCCAAAATATCATCGGGGTTCGTAAGAACTCTAGACATTACGTGACGGTCGCAGATCCGTAGTCGCGATAGATCCGTTCATCAAGTCTTTCATCGTAGCCCAGTATCTGGAATCGAGTTGGTGAAGAATCAAATCATAGAGAGTAATCTAGATTTATTGTCACCTCGTCGATAACAATTCGTCGCGTTGATTTGAAGAACTGAGTCCATATCTTCAGCGGTTGAGGAGTCATATTCAATATGTCCTCACCAGTAGCAGAATTAGAAGCTGGCCTTCAAGCCATGGTACAATTGAAACCTCCTGGTGTATCAGGATCTCGAATTCAAAGTCTCACAAACCTCTGCACCCAAAATATTCAGGTATGCGAATGATCCAATGTTCCCAAACTTCCAATTCTACCATCGCCCTACCGCGGCTCTCCTATCTCTCCCCGTCTCCCCATCTGTGAGCTGTAGCTAATATCTTATTCTCTTTGTAGCAAGAATCCGCCTTGGTTCAGAAATTATATGTTCACTTTAAGAAGACACCCGGCACACACAAACTTGGCACCCTCTACGTCGTAGACTCTGTAACTCGAAAATGGACCGAACAAGCCAAACTTGCTTCACAAACCATAAATAGTTCTGCCCCGGATGGTACATATGCTGCTGGTGTACATAAAGTAAAGGAACTGCTCCCCGCTTTTATGAACGACATAATCCAATCTGCTCCCAATGATCAAAAGGTACGCCAGTATATTCAAAGTGCTCGAACTGAGTAGTTTCCAGCATAGCTATGTCCTATGTCTGCGTGAAAATTTGCTTCCAAGATATCATACATATTCCTCAACCGAGATATCATTGTGCACCTTCTTCATTCACTGTTCCCCCATATGAATTCCTACTTACTTGACATTTCTTGTTTTTGTAGGACAAGATTAGAAAATTAGTTGATATCTGGGAAAAAGGACAAACCTTCCCTTCCCAAATGTTGAATGGATTTAAAGAGAAGTTGGATGCAACAAATGGTAAGATTATCACATATGATCCTGATAGAAGACCATGTCGTCGTGTATCTAACCATAATTCACCCACCATGTAGAAAGTACAACACCCACAGGAAGTCCTCCACCAAATCTTCAGGCAACTTTGGGTTTACAACCAAGTTCATCAACCTCGACTATGGCACCTCCACAAACAGCATCTGCGCCCCCTAACACATCATCGATTTTAGCAGCTCTTGCAACTATGGCAAATACTGCCCGTCAAAATCCTACTCCAACTCCAGTTGCTTCTGCCCCACCTGTTAATCCATACAATGTATCACATGCGCAGAATAATCCTACTCAACCACCTCAAGCAGTAAACCAGAGCTTGCCCTTCTCGGTTGCTCCTCAACCTGTAAACGCCCCAGCTACTTCGATGCCTGCTTATGGTCAAGTTCCAAGTAATGGAATCCCGAACTTTGCCAGTAATCCAAACCCTTTTCCAGTTGCTCCACCAATGAATCCTCCCGGTAATCTCGATCCAGCTACGCAACAGCAGGTAGCTTTAATCAAGGCACTTGCAGCAACTGGTGTTCCTGCTGAACAAATCGCTGGTATTTTAGCTGCTATGGGTAATCAAGGAGCTGCAACTGGCGTGCCACCTCCGTTTGCTCCAAATCAAAATACTCATACTCAAAATAATTGGGGTGTCAGAGATGATGCACGTGACCGAAATGGGTTCCATGATTCGATGAGATCACCACCTGGTCGTTATCGTCGTCGTTCTAGATCCCCATCTCCTCAACGTGGCTGGGGTGGTCGTGATTCTCCCAATGCTCGTCGTCGTGATGATTTTGATAGAGAATCTCCAGCACGTCTGAGAGGTGCAGATGATCGCGGTAGAGGTGGACGTGGCCGAGGTAATGATTACCGCCAACGCAGCCCGCAACGCCGCCGCAGTAATACACCTCCTAGATCAAGTACTGGTGGACCCAAATGGGTTGGACATGATGCATCAATTGGTAAAGGAAATATCAAAGGTTAGTTATCATTTCTCGTGTAATTTTGATTGAAACAGGTCTAACAGAATGTACAGTTCTCAGTCGGACTTTGTTCGTTGGTGGAGTTACGTAAGTCAATGCCTAGTCTTTATCACTTCGAATGTCGTCTTTCGAAGATTTATTTTGCCCATACTGACTTTTATTAAAGTTCTTCGGAACACGAATTGAAATCACTCTTCAATCAATATGGTGATGTGCAAACTTGCATTGTTAACAAGGAAAAGCGTCACGCTTTTGTTAAAATGGTTAGTCGTGAGCATGCCGTCAATGCCAAGGAGGCCATGGAAAAGAATAGAAGTCCTGATTCCTCATTGAGGGTATGTACATCACATATAAATACCTTCAACCGAATGCTTTCCTAACATTAAATTCTAGACTCGTTGGGGTGTGGGTTTTGGGCCACGCGACTGCAGCGATTATCAAACAGGAATCAGCATCATCCCAATTAGCAAACTTACAGACGCGGATCGAAAGTGGATGCTCAATGCAGAATATGGTGGCAGTGGAGGTCAAGAAATCGAACCTGGCATGGTTGTCGAAGAGCCTGATATTGAAATTGGTCAAGGTGTTTCATCCAAGGCAATCAGTCGTCGCATGCAAACCGATAACGGCGGAAAGAATGGTCCAAAATCTGGTCGCGAATATGAGGAGGAGGATAGACCTCGTTATCGTCGTGATCGAGATGACCGTCGCGATGATCGTCGGGACGAAGGACACAAATTTCCTGCCAACACTGTTCCCCCTGTCATGCCACCATTTCCGCTGGGCTCATTTCCTTACCCTCTCCCAACTCTTCCTAATGGGCTGCCAATGTTCCCTCCTGGATTTACCTTCCCCGGTCAACAGCCACCACCACCACCGGGTACATGATCCAGCTCAAACACTTCGTCAATATTTCGTACAACAATTTCGTCGGGGCGTTTTACTTCACACGATTCATATGACGCATTTTTGTGGTGTTCAGGCGTACAAGATATCTCGATTATGGCCCTGGTTTGCCACCTGGAAAAAATCTTCGGTGTCATAAAATCATGAGCAAACAGGATCAAAGCATAGCAATCAACAAATAGGACAGTGCACCGTTTGGATGACTTCCACATTACGCATGTACACTTCTTGCGTTTATCCACTTCTTTTCATGTTTTTGTAGCTAGCTATCCTGCCTTCCTACTACTTTCTTAATACAATACCCAAATCTATGAATACTCCTAAGTGCTTCGTAAAGTGATTTGATGAAATAGTGTTTGGTAAAATTTGAACGAATGGCTGGACTTAGGGATGATCGACTCAGTAGTGAGGTTTGCAAGATCTTTCACTCCCTGTGCTGTCAGCATCTGTGTAGCACAGTGTCCTCTATATGAGTCTAGGTCCCTTTGCCGAATCTTTAAATAGAGATTGCAAATCCATGCAAAGCATGATATAAGAAGTCAACCATGTATTCCCTCAAAGAGCAGTTGTCTGGCTTCACATTGACTTCAAACAAATAGTCTACTTTATTCCATCTTTCTGTTTTATCTATCTTTGCTGTTCGATTAAAGTGGTTTTTGTATTGTTACCTACGTAGATAGATACTGAGTGTTATTTGTTGGAGTTTTTAGTAATATTTATTATTGAGAGTATTGAGAGTATTAGTGAATGATTTTGTCATTGTCGTTGTTATCATTCTGTCTTTCTTAAGTGTTCTTTCTTTTTTTATTCTTCTGGAAATTGGGTTTTTGTAAATAGAAGAGGAGCATTCTGATCGGATGTTTAATCCGGTTTGTGGTTCGTATTAATTATCATCCTTTTCAAGAATTGTTATTTTTTGTTCTTTTGTTCTTTGTGTGATATTTGGGGAGGGGAAATTGGGCTTGCAGGTAGATGAGGGAATGGGGAGGAATTTTTCATGCTGTTTTATTTCTCATTTTCAAGTGCTAGTTCTCATTTCGAATATTTTAATCATTCGCCAGATGTGTAGTACTAATCTTGTATAATGAAGCACAATTTCATTAAAAAAAAATTACCCTCCTTAGGTACCTTCACATTGAGCGAGCGAACCGTCTACAGGAAAGAATTTTACAAGATGCAGGATATAGTATATAAAAATCTATATATATATGATTTATTTCCTATTGTCACTATTTAAAGAGATTGCGCATAGCTTTAGAAAACTAGCGCTTGAAGGTTTTCTGAAATTCTTCATGTTAAATGCAGTCAGTGAGTCTATGGTCCTTAAAAAGATAAAGCGTTTATTGCTTCTGCTACATCTAATGAGGACAGGCATTTTAAACTTTCCACTTCCACTTCCCCTATCACCATCATCATCATCTATATCTCGAATCAGCACTCCTTTCTCACTGCATAGAAAATCTCAAAAGTTATAGCTTAATCAAGGTCTGCCCGTATTTTCTCCCAAGTTTAATAGAGAAAAAGCAATACTCTGCTCGCTCTCAAGTTTCGTTATACCTAGAGTCTCGTAATCTCTGGTGAACATGATCGCATAGCCTTCATATTATCTCTAGAATCGACACGTTGATTTCAGAAAGAAGGCTTGCTAGAACTCTATTCCCTTTACCAGATATTAGGTATCTGTAATTTCATACAGACACCTACACTATCTCTTCCAATTTCATCACGACAGCTTTGTCATTCCATGAGAATATTCGATATATTTTATGGCATCATTAAAATTAGCAGGTGTATTATCATTTCATCATATGTAATTTGTACGTTCGTTTCCTCGTAACCTCCGCGATATCAACATCAGCATGTAATATCTTCTCGCATTGTGGAAAAAAAGGTAATCACAATCCCCCCATCAATCTTATTGCTTCGCAGCAACAGCCTCTGGAACAAATATTGCTTCACGAGCTCCACTTCCACTCCCTTCTCCCTCTAATCTCTTCTTCTCAGCTTCTTTATCCGCATCTCCCATCTCCGCCAAACCATACCACGTAATAGTAGCTAATCCCAACAATGCCGCCAGACAACTAAACAACATGGCCACGATTCCCTTCGCCGTGAAACCCGCAGGCAACGGTCCCGGCGCCACATTAGCACCCTTCACATCCAAAAAATCGACTGTATTACCCGCCGCATTACCTATGTATGGTATACCACGGGCTTCACAAGCAGCAATGTGGTCCTCGGGAATAGTGAGAGATTTTTGGAGTTGGAGGGGTGCCTCGATCATGGTTGCGATGAGACCCTGGTCGACGTGCCATTCGATGTGGCAGTGGAAGAGCCAGACGCCCGGATTGTCGGATTTGAAACGGAGGACGAGATAGCCGGATGGACGAAGGACGACAGTATCGCGACGCATGGGAGTGGGCGGGTATGTTGTTCGAGTGGTGTTGGTGGAGTCAAATATACCCGCATCTTCGTCGGAGCGCTGGATTACCTGGAAGTTATGGCCGTGAAGATGGAAAGGGTGTTTGCCAGAGTCTGAAGGGCGTTAGAGAATATCTTAGGGGTATATTTTGTAGCAATGGGACGCCGGTTGGTTTCGACGATCATAGTTTTGTACTCACCTAGATTATTTACAACGATTTCGATTGTTTGCTCGTAGTCAAGAATAAAAGAGTGGGTAAACTCCCCATAAACTGCTGGGTTTGTAGCATGATCTCCGGCGGACATAATCGTATATAGGGTAGGGACCTTTGGAGAGACGTATGTAATGTTGTTGAAAAACGCACTTCTTAGGGTCAGCACTGTGATGTATCAATGTGGAAGTATCACTTACTATGGTTTACCATTCCCGAGCACATCCATGACCACATCGAGACTGATTGTCTGATGAGGTTCGGGAAGTAAGGGCATTTCATCATAGGGCACAAGGTTGAAATCGTCAAAATCATTGTATTCATCAACAAATGCGGCATCCGGCAGAGCTTTAGCATCGTCGTAGACGAGCCACCCCGTTCCGTTCCAATTCAAGTCGTCAGGGAGTACGTCAAACAGGGACTAAGATACTTCAGTGAATGACCCCCTCTTGAGAGAGATTTTACTTACCGTATCCATGCTTGTAACAAAAGCAAAATTCGCTGAGGTGTCATTCTTGGTGGTGAGCAAAAAGCTATATCGTTGAGCTGCAGCGACATAGATAGATTCTGCCTCGGCCTTTTTAGTCCAGACACCATCTACTTCTACAATAGTTATGTTATGGCCTTCGAACCAGATGTACTGGCCAGCAAAAGCACCAATGTTGACAACGCGGAAAAGATAGGTCCTCCCAGGTTTTACCAAGACAGTGAGGTTTTGAGTGTCGTTGAGAAGAACAGCTTGTGGGACGGGTTCTGCTCCGGTTGGATTTTCAACCCCAAGGAACTCAGGAATCCATACTTGCATCTCTTCGTGGTACCAGTCTGAGACTGAGAGAACGACTTCTTCGTCGACCTCATCCGCATATGGGAAGTCTGGATCCGTGATTATGAATGGCGCTCTGAGTCCATCTGGGTATTGGCCCTTGTCGTGAGAATGATACCAATAAGTCCCAGGCTGGTCGGCCTAAGATTGATTCAGCGGATGGTCATAGACATTTCGATTGACTTACCGTAAAATTGTAGACGAATCTGGAGCCGGATGGAATACCGCATTGAGTTACTTGTGCAGGACCATCCATGTGATTAGTGCCATTCATGAAAAGACCATGGAAATGAAGGGTTGTGGTTTGATTGCTAAGTTGATTGTCAACATTCACAATTACTTGATCACCAACATTCGCTCTCATAACAGGTAATGGCCATTTCCCATTGATGCCAATGGTTGGACGTTCATAGGCACCATCCGGGTTTGCTCTAACCCAAGTAATATTGAAGTCATAAGTTACAGTTGCCGCCTCTGTGAGAAGTGAGAAAGCCAGAAGCAGCACCGATAAAGTGTGAAAGAATGATAGAGGCATTGCCATCTTTCTGTTGACCGAGATTATCAGCCAAAAAGAGCGAAGGATTGGAAAAGACCTCTTGAGACGCGGGGTTTATTTTTGTAGGTGAATGGTGGGAGCTATGCCAACACGTGAGGAGAGAAATCAATGACCTCGTCCAAAGCTGACGATTAGGTTGGAAAGTGGATATTCGAAAACTTTGCTGAAAAGCGAAGTAGGTCTAGATGAGCTCGAGTTAGAGGATCTAACTTTTCTTTATCAGATGATCTGATAAGATATCTAGCGTATTCCGGACCAACGACCGACGAGCTGCAAGACTGTGTGGAGCGAGATTCGATCTAGGAGCCTAGGGCGGACTAGTAGAGCAAGGGTAATGAAGTCTTATTTAAATTGCAAAGTGCAGCAAGCTCGTGATTGCAAGAACTTTTTTGCGATCTGCAGCAAAGATTTCGGAATATAAAATTTGAATTATGACTGCATGGTACATGTACTCGGTGCTGCCACAGAGTAGAAAACTCCGATGTTAAATCAGTGTAAGTGTCAACCACTGTAGAAAGAAGGGAACCCCTTGAAAATGGGGCAGTTTGATCCATAAGAACAATTCTTCCCTGGCGTTTAAATTTTCATGCTATCTGGCCTCTCGAGGACACTGTATTGCACATTTTCAAGCCCGAAATACAGCAAAATGATGTGAACACATAGTAATGATTTGACCATCTGATTGATGATCTGATAATAAATAGTCTCTGCTTATCTCACCGAATAATCGAATTAGCTTGTGAGACTAAGTAGTAAAGGGTTAGGCTAGAAAACAAGCATAAAACTAGAAGCCCACTGGAATATAAGCTTTCATGTTTACTAGGGACTCCGAATAATAATCCCTCACACAACTCTTGCTAACAGCTTGTTACGAGCGCTAGGCAAAGCTTAAAATTTTCGATAGAAATGTCCCGAATGGTTTGGTAGAACGAACATAACACTAAGGATTCAGAAACTGAGAATTTTTTATAAGACCTCTCTAAGGCTTTCTCTTTACCCCTTTAGCAATCTTATATCAGTCTTGTATGTATATCTGAGTAAAATAAGGTTCATAATGAGATGCTTCTGCTCTATGTATCATGCTCTCGCTCTAAGTGCTAAATGATCTCGTTTTTCGGTCATATATCATTGGCAGGGAATCAAGGATGTCAATACTTTTGAATGTTTTGTGCTTCCCGACCTCTTCATATCGACCAATCAAAATTTACGAGTGTCATGCCAACATGTACCACCAACCGATAACAGGCTAGAGATTTTGAAAAGTATTATTGCAGGAAACTTTCCTATTTCTTTGAACAAGGATCAATGCAGTTAATTCACTTGGCCACGACTCCGCGAGGTAGCTTAAGTTCGAACAATTTTTCCACTTGACCCGTCAGACCCGGTCCGACCTTTCTAGCCGTAATCAGATCCTCGTTTGTTCTTATCAGATCCACGTCCACTCTTTCCCTTGTTCAGCTTGTTGAAATATTGGATAAATGAACCATACTTCCGTACTCGTTACTGGCACTCAGATTCCTCTTTAAGAATTGGGCTCATTATCCCTTCGTTGCAGCGTGCGATTGCGGATTTACAATCTCACTAACCATCCTAAAAGAATAAATCAGGCCTTATAGTAAACATGACTGTCAGTGTCTTCTCGGTGCCAGTATTCTTCGTTGTCTTTCGAGAGTCTTTGGAGACGGTCGTAATTGTTCAGTTTACTTGCATTCATCAAGCAGAGTTTGGGTGACTCTGATAAAGATGCGACACTCCGCAAGAAGCTCTTTCGACAGGTAAGAACATCTCATGGTTCTGTGATTGACATCCCCACTTCTCTGCTGATCAGCTTCTAGGTCATATACGGAGCGCTATCAGGACTTCTTCTCTGTTTGATCATTGGTGGTGGTTTGATTGGAGCTTTCTATGGAATTGGTAAAGATGCCTGGTCCAGTGCTGAGTACTATTGGGAAGGCTCTTTTGCCATTGTTGCATCCGTCATAATCACTTTGATGGGAGCTGCGCTGCTTCGCGTGACGAAAATGAAGGATAAGTGGACTGCTAAGCTTCGCCAACACTTGGAGCCATCGGTAGATACAAGAGCACGAAGATGGTATGCTAGCTGGCTTGACTTCAAGGTATGGGGAGAAAAACACTTCATGTTCGTTCTGCCTTTCATCACTGTGTTGAGAGAAGGACTCGAAGCCGTCGTCTTCGTAGCAGGTGTTTCTTTTTCTACACCAGCGACGAGTATCCCGCTCCCAGTCATTATCGGACTCATTGCTGGACTTGCGGCAGGATTTGTTATCTACAAGTAAGTGGCCTTCGGTAAATCTTCCTGGCCAGGCTAACCCGATACAGAGGTGGCGCGACATCAAAGCTTCAATACTTCTTGATCGTCTCGACATGTCTCCTATATCTTGTAGCTGCCGGTCTCTTCTCGAGAGCAATTTGGTTCTTCCAGGCACAAAACTGGAACAATGCCACCGGTGGCGATGCAGCAGAAACTGGGTCAGGACCAGGTTCTTATGATATTAGACAAAGTGTTTGGCATGTCAACGTAAGTGAAGTTAACACATTAGCGCAAGCATGTTCTAACAATTCCAGTTTGGTAACCCAGAGTTGAATGGCGGTGGCGGGTGGGGGATTTTCAATGCTATCCTTGGATGGCAGAATTCCGCAACCTATGGCTCTGTCATCTCATACAACCTCTACTGGCTCGTAGTCATTGTTGGTTTCCTCGCAATGAGATATAAAGAAGTTAAAGGTCATCTCCCACTTGCTCCGACCCTCAAGCCTTATCTCGCACCGGTTACAGCTGTGAAAGGTCATATCGCAAACATGAAACAGCGCGCTATCTACAAGGACGGAGAGGTCACTGTAAGCGATGAGAGACTTGGAAGAAACAACTCCGGAACGTCATCCGTGGCAAAGGATTCCGAGAAGGCCATGGATACCGTAAGAGAGATACCTGTAAGTACCATTTCGGACTAAATGGCCAAATTGCATCGAGGGAAATGTCAAAGCCACACCTTGCATGAAATCCGGATTACTTGCACTAGTTGAGTTCTCGAATGCAAACTGTTGCACCACGGGAGACTGAGCATAATAATGACGTGATAAATCAAAGTTAGAGATGAAATATATCATGATGAGAAAGAAATTTCCAGGAAATGCTTGTATTGAAGATGCCGAGTGAACGGTTCTGTTGAAAGTCGTTGAAGCGCGAATGCCAGGTACGCAGTAGTATTCATTGCTGAACCTGGCCGCCTATGTTATCCTTCTCAAGCTCCATTCTGGTCAAGTAAGTGCGAATCAGCACTTCCGTGTTTCACTTTTTCAGCCTTGCGAATGCATTACTAGAATTCTCGAGATGAGAGCTCTCAATCACGAATGTTTTTGATATATTCCATGATCTCGTATGCTGCGTGTGAAGCATCTCTTATCGCAAGTTGCCTTTGTGATATCATTTATGAGTCTCGATCCATGTAGGCGCCTATTAATACCGTAGTATACCATTGTCCAAACAAAAAACCCGGCATCTAGGAACTCCGTAATGGTTGGTTGGTGTTGGAGTATGTAAATAAACAGCCAGCTGCCCATCTCGACTCTTTTCCAGATGGCATCTAGCCTGATCTCGATATCAATGGTTTTCAGAAGTCATGGTTGACTATGTTATGGATCGACATAAGCTTGCAATTGAGTAATAAGAGGGAGGTGGAGGGGGTATTACTAAGGAGGATCAACCTTTTAAAGAATTTTGGGTTATTTGCAGTTGAGGGGATCACAATCGGGCATTCTCTTATTGGTCAAGACCATGCTTAGCGTGATATCGGCCCCGACGGGATTGTACATTGTGTAGATGTGATATTCATTAATTTCGAAACACCCATCAAGTACTGCTTTAATAAATTGATGCTGTAAATTGTGATGTATACTAATAGAGCTACAGTTTAAATTGATTGGGTATCTTGAAAAACAATAAAAAATCATAAACCCGCTCTGAATGCCACCTAAGCCATATCGCATGACAGTTATTCCCCTCTAGATCCCACCATAGACTCCAGTTTTCCCGCCAGTACCCTATGCTTTTTGATAACTTCTGCCCATTCCTCATCATCATCATCATCATCATCATCATCGGATTCTCCCTCGTCCAACCCTTCTTCCTGACCGGCTCTTCTTCCCAAATTCGCAAGCACGAGGCTAAAGTCCCCTCCCAATCGTCCCAAACTACCCGCACAGTAAAGAACTTGAGTAAGCAAACTATCTCTACCACTTTTATCCCTCACATTGGGTAGATATAATTTCAGAGTCTCCTCCAACATCCCAACTAACTGAAGAGGAAAAGTAGTCAGGGCACTTGGTAATGGACCCAGTAAATAATCATCTTCCTTGTCCCTCGTATCATTCTTGAGCCCCTCTATTGTGACTGGAGCTGTTGGGGGCGGAAATATAGAGCGGAACATGGAAATAATTGCAAAACTTTGCTCCCGGAATATCTCTATGTAGCGTTTTAAATACTTCTCCGTCTGTTGCCCTGCTTCGAATTTGTTCCCTCCTGTTTTCCCCATCGATGATATTAGCCGCAATGATTCCTGATCAGCGAGGTCCCGTAGAGGGCTGAGTGCATTAAGCATAGCTGTTAGACTGGAAAGGCGAGAAACGAGAAACAAGGAACCTAATGCTCCTTCTCGGGTTTGCGCGGAGCTGGACGTGGTTGTGGAAGGATCGAGTTCGGGGGCAACACGCCGTAGCCAGGAGATCGTGCGCATAGCAGCTGCTAGCTTAAGAGAGGGTTGTCGCAAGGAGTATATGAGGTTTGTGGCCATAGATTGCATTTTATCCTCCGCTTGTAAGGAAACGCTCGTTATGAGTGGAGAAGTAGGATATAACGCGTGCAGCCGTCTTATGTGCGCATTGAGGTCTAATGCAGAAGCATAATTTAATGTATTGTTTTCTCTACCGGTGGTACTAGTAGCAGTTGTGTTCGAAGAGGATATCGCGGTAGAAAGTAGGGTAGGTAAGTCGAGAACATCTGCGAGCCTCTCTACGTTTCGTGACAGTAAAAGAGCTTTCCGTCGTCGATCAAGGACAGCATTTTCAATTCGATTGTTGTAATTTTCACTGAAATGAATAGCTGCATCGTCCAATTTGGGAAGAGCATCTCGTAAGTCTGCGGTGGCTTTTGCTAAAGTAGGAAGAGTGGTAGTGAGTGTCGATAAATGGTCAGAAGACGCGATGACTGATTTATGGGAACGTTTGGACAAAGCTTGTAGGGACAGTATAAGGGAGTTCGATGCTTGAGAAAGCGATTGGGGTTCGGAAGTATTGAGTGAAGAGAGAGGAAGGGTACAGAGTCGATTCAAATAGGTGGCAATTGTAGGATCAGTCGACGGTGGTGCCGGCCGTGGAGAGGGCTTATCGAAATATGGAATGAGGAGTTCATACAGGGGATCGGCCATTTTGGCACAAAATCTCGACACTGATTGAGGATTTCGTATAATGGTGTTGTAATATTTTGAAGTTAAAAGAAAATGATGGCTGACGCTCGGTAGCTCCAAGAGCTTCAAAAATACGCTACTGCAGCCCCAGACATTGCGGGACCCTTCAACAAGTTCCAATCCAATCTCCATCATGATTCCCCACATAACCTTCATAAATCCACGGACAATATCACTCTGAAGAATATATATCAGGATGTCTGAGATTTCCATGCCTAATGCTGATCAATTGACGCCGCGGCGGAACAATGATGTTTCAAGCTTCAAAAATGTTCATATTCCGGGAAGACCTCCGCACTCATGTTATGATGTTCATTGCTTGGGAGGTACCATTCGCTCAATCACCACAGACAGCTCTCCATCAGAAGTTGGAAAGCAAAGCGACTATCGCTTAATAATTCCTGGCTTGTGTCATCCTCATATACATCTTGATAAGTGTTTTCTGTTATCACATCCAAAATATGCAGATTTAGAGATCAACGAGGGTGACTTTTCCGAGGCAATGAAATTAACCAGTTCGTCTTTCCCTACATGCTTCGTCGATCATCAAGTTGATCCCACCATCATAACGCTTTTTTCGTTTCAATCATTCTAAGATCTAAATGTGTTTAGGTGAAGCCAAGTCACGTTTCGAACACGATGATCTTATGGAAAGGGGAAGGGCCTTGGTTGAAGAGAGTATCCAATTCGGTGTTACTAATATGAGAGCTTTTGTTGAAGTAGACTTCGGTGTGGGGATGAAATGCTTGGATGCTGGATTGGCACTGAAAAGAGAATTCTATGACAAGTGTTATATTCAAATCTGCGTATTTGCCCAGGACCCAATTTTCAGCTATAACTACGGGTCTCCATCAATGACAGATTTGCTCAAGCAGGCAATCAAACGACCCGGAGTCGAGGTGATTGGGAGCACCCCGTACGTCGAAAAGAGTTTTGCGCTCCAAGAAGAAAATATCCAATGGACTATTGGAACGGCGAAATTGTACAAGTTACATCTGGATTTTCATCTCGACTATAATCTAGATGTCCACCAACAACCTGCTGTTCATTCAGTGATAGAAAGGCTTCACAGGGCTCAGTGGCCGACAGACAGAGATATTGCAGGGTTAAGCTTTCGAACAGTGGTACTTGGTCATTGCACTCGACTCACGCTTTTCGATAACAATGCCTGGCAGAACCTACGTCGTGAAATTGGCAACCTACCTGTCTCATTTGTCGGACTCCCCACGTCGGATCTATTTATGATGGGACGGCCAGAAAAGGGAGCCGGCGGCAGTAGTAGAGTCAGAGGTACACTCCAAGTCATTGAAATGATCAAGAAATATGATTTCAATGCAGCCATAGGAATTAATAATGTTGGTAATGCCTTCACTCCTCATGGCAATTGTGATCCTATGAGTCTTACAAGTCTGGGTATGGGCATTTATCAAGCAGGCACGAAGGCAGACGCTGAGATCTTATTGGTAAGTTTATCTCAGCCGCGCCGAACTTGAAATACCACTAATTGAGACACCTAGGAATGTGTATCTACAAGAGCGAGAGCAGCAATCGGCCTTGATATCATGCGTAACCTTAGAATAGAAATGGGAAGTCCTGCGAGTTTTGTTATTTTTGGTACAAACGGAGCTCAGAACTTTAGAGCTAGGAAGTCAATCCAGGAGTTAGCGTATGACGCAGGTGTTGAACGAACGACTATCTTCGAAGGAAAGGAGGTCATCTTTTCATGATCTTTCAGGACATTCAAGTCATTATCATGTCATGTGCGCCCGAATCCACGTGGCGGAGTTATCATCAATTTGATTCACGTGCAACCATACAAGACATTTATTGTAGAAGTCATCAGAATCGGGATAAGAACACAATAAAAATGGATAAAACGTATTGAAATATGAACCACTCATTTAATCTACATAACAATTTCAAGCTCTATAAAATGAATGTAAATAACGAAAACATCTTCTGATTCTTGCGACTTTGATACAGTACTCCCTCCCAGGTACATGAACATATCAAAAGGTATCATACACATCACCCCTGTTCCACTTATTTGTTCGGTTAAAGAGACTTAGATCTAATCTCTAACTGTAATTGGCTACTTCTCCCGCATCTTAAGTCTTGAATTGTTGGGACTGAAGTGAAACCTTACTCTTCTGACACCCTCGGTCGGTTCCCTACAGTACCTGCCCAACTTCACCATACATACATAAATATCTCGACATCCGCATTACAACGAGGAGAGGCATATTTTCTCCTAAGCACACTCGGTGTGTTACGACACGAAGATAGATATTTTGTCGTTCCCTTTAGAGATTCCCTATATTCGACATTCTACTCCATTCTGAGATGCATGATCCATTTCCTATCCCACCATCGCCATGGCTTAGCCAGACCGTTCAGCCGTTCGCGGACTATTTCCACCTAACAACTTTACCCCTCCATATACACGAAGTTCTCGGGTCTTTCCTGGCATATACGTTCATCAACAAGGTCGTCGCGCCCCAGGTTTCCATGCTCATTTTCCCTGAGAAGTACTCCAAATTCTCCGCAGAACGAAAGCTTAATTGGGATGTACATGTGGTCTCACTATGCCAAAGTTCTCTTATCAACATCCTCGCCTTATGGGTTATGTTTGCGGATGAAGAGCGCAAGAACATGACGGCACAGGAGCGTGTTCATGGTTATACTGGAGCTGCTGGCATGATCCAAGGCCTAGCGACTGGCTACTTCCTCTGGGACTTGATGATCACCCTACAGAACCTCAGAGTCTTTGGCATAGGCATGTTGGCACACGCGACCAGTGCTCTGTTGGTTTTCTCTTTTGGTTTTGTGAGTGTTTGTGCTTCCGAAAATTAAACATTGCTAATATTTACTCCACAGAGACCATTTGTCAATTTCTATGGATGCACATTTATTCTTTACGAGCTTTCCTCGCCCTTCCTAAACTTCCATTGGTTCTTCGACAAACTCGATATGACTGGATCTAAGCCCCAACTTTACAATGGAATTGCTCTTCTCTTTACCTTCTTTTGCTGCCGACTTGTGTGGGGAACATATCAGTCAGTTCGTGTTTATCAAGACGTATGGAGGTCAATGCACAACCAGCCTGCACATTATGCTTCTATCAATATTGATGCTCTCGCAAACGGCACCGCTTCCGCAGCTGAGGCCGCAGCAGGCCATAGTGCGGCCCCTCTCCAGAATGACATTATGCGCTTCGCCGATAACGAGTTCATCCCGCTCTGGCTAGGGTTCACATATTTAGGAAGCAATCTTGTGCTCAACACCTTAAACTTTTACTGGTTTGGAAAAATGATTGAAGCTGTTAGGAAGAGATTTCAACCGGCCAAGGAAGGCAGACAAAAGGACAAAGCGATTGCCATGAAGAGCACAGGTGCCAATGGCAAGGTCAAGATTAGCGTCGAGGAGAACGAGGTCCGTAGACGAAAAGCATTGGACGATGATGAACCAATTGCGGCAGTTTCATAGTTTGTTTATATTTCAGAGACTGGGGAAAGCATGGGTTCGAACGAACAACTGATGGTCGACGTCCATGGTGGCTTCACTCCTTGGGTGTATCGAGACTTCTTGGTTTCGCCTTCTTTGCAATTAGAATTATCCCTATACATAAAGACACTTTTCCCCTTATGATCTAAATATATTGCATTGATTTGTGAGTAGGTTAGTATTCCCATTCATTTAATCAACAGGCAGGGCTTTATATGAGACAGATTTGAAATTTAGTGTAGTGAAATTATGGTATAACAAACTCCACTCTTCCTGTAATAGCACCCATGCCAACTGTCCCTAAACCGACACAGTCCAAAAAACAAGCCAGCCCGAAGAAATATCCCAAAAGTCATTCAAAAACTTCAATCTCACACGATTCAGCTAAAAGCGCCAGGTTGAGGACTAGCAACCATTCCTGGTAGAGCTTGGTATCCCTTCGTTCCAGCATTCTTCTCAAGGAGAATATAATCGAGTTCCTTGCTGGTTTGCATTAATTCGCAGCAGGCACAACAGCACGATCCCATGCACCCAGTGCAGGCATTTCCTTCGAGACCTGGGGAGTGCGTTAGTTTTTATTGTCAGGTAAGTGATGGGACATGAAGCGTGATCAGGGTTTGGATAGTAGAAGATGTAATATGGAATATGAATGAAATGCACTAACCATGTTGTTTCTGCATCTTCTGACGATCAAGCATTTGCAATACAAATGAGAATCCTCCGATGACGGCGAGTCCGCACCAGCCACAGCACCATCCATTGCAGCTAGAGTAGTCATCGTCGTTGCCATATTCAATGCGGTGGTGGTTGCGGCCAGAGACAAAGCAAGGGCAGAAGCATGTTTTGAGGCCTTGATGGGGACTTGTTAGTATATTGATGAGGGATGGGAAGTGAATTAGGTTGAGAAGCGTACCGAGATCAAAAGGGGTGCAGCAGGCCCAGAAAGAGTTCTTGTATGCAGTAGACATGATGATTGTATTGGAGTTATAGTGTCGAAGTAGAGTTTCGAGTTGTATGTAAAGTTATAGAAGGAGTTTCAACGAGCAATTAAAAGAAAGTTAAAACCAATATACAACGAAGAAAATTCTTGATTGAGAGAAATAAAACGTCGAAGATGGCGGACCACAGGTCATATTTGAGGTTTTCGTAGCTTTAATATCACGCAAGTTTCACACGAAGGATTCACTAAGAAGATGCAACATGGCTGATGCCCTAACATTTCAAATTTAGAGCAAGAGAAAATCTCCACTGGATGCAAGGAAAAAAGTTATAAAAAGATTATAATGGTTGGAAATGTGTAATAAGGCTGAAAACAATGCCTCGTTCTCATTTCGGGGACGAGCAGTAGGGGTTTGGGATTGGTGAACACAGCGAAGGAGCGAAGGATTGGGGGGGGCCAATGATTGAATGGCTTGCTTTGTAAATTTTGACCCCTAAATATTATCCTCGGCTTCCTACTTGGAGGAGATGACCTTGGACAGAGAGGCTCGTGAAACATCTGATAGTTTTAATTGTGTGTCGATACACTGCGTGTATTTGCTTTGGATAACGTGCTTGGTGACATAGCGGAGAGCGACAACACATTGTGTTGGTCTCCACTTTGTGCTTATTGCACACCCCATTCATCGCAAAGTTCCATACAAATTGATGAAGTTGTACAAGAAAATTCCTTGGCAAAGCTGATGGAGAGTGCAGACTTCTGCAGATGAAGGGACCTCAGCCTCATGTCATTCCTAGGAATACCAAGTACTGGGTGCAGGTTGCCGGGGAAAGTCTTGTAAGACACACCAAAAAAAATGACCGTGCTTCCTCATTTACAGGGGTTTTGACTAAAAATATTATCACGCTGATTGAAAATTTGTATAACGAAATCTAAATAGTCAAAATATCATAAATTTTCATTTTTTTTAATAGAATTCAATCAAAATCTTCAACTTTTTTTTAAAAAAATTGTATTTTTGTTGAAATTAAGGTCATTATGGGCCTAGAATTGAGGTCATATGACCATTATGGTGCACGGACCATAATTGGGAATATCTTCAATTCTACCATTACTGTAACTTAGATCCTTAGTTTAACCTACATCTAATAATACTACTACTTCCAAACAACTCAGTTTCAACAATTTTAAAGTAATTCAAAAAGATTATACAAGCTTCAAAAGGAGAAAAGAAAAAGGAAAATAAAAGTAGAGAGTTTTCCTATAATTAAATACAAACGGAGCATGCCACATGACCCGGAGGTGTGAGGCGTCACAAGGAAAAACTCTAATTCAATCAATAAAATTTATAATAATTTTTTTTTTTTTTTTTTTTTTTTTTTTTTTACAGATTTTTAAAACATTTTGAAAAATTATAAGTAAAATATTTGTTTAAATTTAAATTTATATTTATATAATTTAATTTATTATCTTGTTATTGTCACGATTCATTAATTCACGTGACCTCGAGGACCTTGAGGACCTTTTGGACCTTAGGGTCCCAAGGGTCCTCAAAAGATGATATAGGGTATATAAACATTCATTTAGTCTCGTGGTTAAGGAGCTTCGTGCTCAACTTAGTTATCAATTAGTTTACCTACATTCTACTTGATCTAGTAACGACTTCACTTCCAAGTGAAGACCAGTGACAAAGCCTTAACCCACAACTACCAACCAGACGAAACCTTAGGCAGCCGCTGCCTCTAGTATAGTATCGTTACAATTATATTAAATATAAATATATAAGATTATTGTTAAAAGGAATGACCTCACACAGGGAATAGTGGGAAGCTGATAGGGCAGAACTGAGGTAATATTGATCTAGTAGGTTAATCTCTCTTTTAAGTTCTACGGAAGTGCGAAGCTCTCTGTAAGAGAGCTTCTCAATCTAGTCCTAACAGGACTAGTGCCCTGTGTACGTGCTACGCAGGGACCATTCACTTTAACAATTATTTCTTTTAAGAAATAATTAAATTTGTTTTATAATTAAAATATTTGTGAGGCCTCACACCTCCGGGTCACGTGGCATGCCCCGTTTGTATTTAATCACAGGAAAACTCGCTACTCTTGTTTTCCTTCTTCTTTTCTCCTTAGCTTAGTATTTTCTAATACAAGTGTTACGTCCAAAACGATTAGTATGTCACATGACCATAAAACATGTGATGGAACGGTGAGGAACGAACGTTCCTAGGAACAACCAGGAACGCTCGTTCCCAGGAACGACGATTCCTAGTTAACCATAGGCACGAAGGACTATATAATCAAGATGGATTTCTTTTGTATAGAGCTTCGTGCTCAAGATCAATCATTTAGTATACTCTACTATTAGTTACGAATTGCATATCATTATTGTCATTACTTCAAGTCCCTGCTTGACGCCTAGTTATAAACCTACTTCGAGAGCCTAGAGCACTTCCACGTGATCTAGACGGCAAACCTCGTAACAACAAGATACTTTACTCAGTATTCTTGAGTGTGACAATATTCTTATAATTTATTGATAAAGTAAATGATTTTTGAAGAAACAAAAATCAGTTAATAAATGAATTAATAGTTAAAATAATTAAAAGTGATAATATTCAGAGGTATAGTGATCGAAGTTGATTGATGATCGGAGTTGCCGAAGTTGATTATTGATCGAAGTTGCCGAAGTTGATTAGTGATCGAAGTTGCCGAAGTTGACTAGTGATCGAAGTTGCCGAAGTTGATTAGTGATCAAATTGAATGGCCTCTCTTTTATTAAATTAAAAATAAGGCTATATATACTTCGTATATATACTGTACTTCAAATTTTAAGAATCTCACTTTTGAGTGTTTGCTTATATAAAGATATGTATATGATGTATTTCATATATATATAGTTTTTGTACGTTTATGAAGAATTATAATGTCCTTCATATAAGTACTTTTTGCTTTCTTAGGGGTAGGTTCGTGTAGGCATTGTATGGTAAGCTTACAGTTCAACATTAATAAGGGAACAAGGGTCTTTACTTGTAGATGTAAGATGGGATGACAATTTGGTGTTTCGAGCGTGGCTTTATATTCCTATCAAGGTTTGTCTTTAAAAGTACAGTTTGAGGAGCAGTTAATCCAGGTGGAAGGAAGTAGGAGGAAGTTACAGGATTCTCTTTGGAATAAAATTCCAGAAGTGGTAATGTCTAATTTTGAACATTGATTGATGGATGGATCATTGTAATGCTATTCGAAGCTGTGGGAAGAGAAGACATTTTTCAATATTATTCATTTTGATGAATTCAAAGATCTAAATGAAGGCTTTTTCTGAACAATAGTGTACTAGGGAAGTAAACATTCACATTGCAAGGAGAGCTTATCGGGACCCCTGTCTAGCTTGATCTACCCGAAAAATGTGGGGACAACTTTACCTACAGGACAGGATGTGAATGAACATTCTGATATTGGCAGTTGCTAGATAAGATCCCTATCATGATTTGAGTAAGTCGACGAGATTTTCGATATAGCATTCCAGTTTCCTACAAATTCCTATTCTGGGCTATTGGGCTACTTGTTCAAACCTCAGTTAGATTTTGGAAAAGTTGGATTGTGCCTAAATATGTTCATATAACCGACCCCGGCTCCACCCCTTTAGTCAAAAGACATCGTTGGCTTGACCTGATGGAAAAGTGCTTCAAAGATCAATCAATTGTGTGCGAGTTGTCTTTGAGGCTTTGAAAGGTCATATCGGTGGATCATGGGAAGAATGAAGCCAATTGCTCACGGCCCTTGGTCCTTGGCAGACTCGTATGGTACGTTTGTCCATTGCTGTTCTACGAATTTCCAATCATCATATCTAACACGCATCTACAGGCTTCATATCTACCTTCCTCAACGGGTCCATAACTCGCAGACGTGCCTTTATTTCGGACCCCCGCTCGGTGACACAAGCTGGTAGGCTGGCATTCAGCACGTCACACTCGTCCTCCAGGCATCGTATCAAAACCCGCAGGTCAAGCAAACAAACAAGCGTATATCGGGAAGGACAGAGTAGGTGGTTCCACGACTACTTTACTACGCATCTCCCTTCCTCGTCTCTTCATCCTGATTCTCGGTCGAGCGGCCCGCATCACAAATTGCCACGGTCCGCCTCGACACCACATACGCCAGGCTCAGGAGCTTCTCCCGCAGCAGCTCCACCAACCATTGGTGCATCCAGAGAACTTACAGTTGTGCGAATACCTCTACGAAGCGCGAAACATCACTTTGGGGTTTCTGTCTCTCGGGGTACCAGGCCGTACAACGAAGATGCATATCAGGCTGGAACAATAGAAGTGCCAGCATTCGCAAAGCGGGCACCTATAAGTTTAAGTCGATCGGATTCCAAAACTACCACAGGTGTTGGTACATCCGCAGATGGTGCAAGTGGAGATCCGCAAGTGTTCTACTTTGGGGTCTTTGATGGGCATGGCGGAAATGAGTGTAGTGATTTTTTGAGGGAAGAGTTGCACACGTATATTGAGGAGTCAACAGAAACGTTCAAAGTTCTCTCAAGTCTGGAGAAGAAGGCGAAAAACAATGCTTATGGTACATCTGTGAGTAGGGAAGTACAGGAGGATGGGTCAGGGACACCCATATCTCAGCAGATCTCTTGTAAAATCAAAGCAATCGAGTTGGAAAAGGCCCTTGTTTCAGATTGGAAATCAACAGTTGGTGGATATTTTCGACGATTCAAACCAGAATATTTTGATCTGCCTGAATCTATGGAAGGGGAGCCAATACGAAAACCTATCTCAGTTGAAGCAGCCTTAATGTATGCTTTTTTAAAAGCAGATTTTGATTTTATATCAGCACAGGCACGAAAACCCTCTCCGGATGACAATAACACCGACTCGCCCCTAAACGCGAATGAAATTTTTGGAGAGCCTGCGCGACATTTCTCACCGCATCGAATTGGTGGCCCTACACGCTTCATGGGAGGTTCAACCGCATCTGTTGCTATGATATCTACACCCACACCAACTCCCTTCTGGCATCCATCTTCTCCCTCGACGTTGATGGTCGCCCACGTTGGCGATACTCGTATAATACTTTGTGAGACCGCGACCGGCTTGGCCAAACCTGTGACTACCAATCACCATCCCAGTTCGCCTGTTGAAGGGGGTAGACTAAGAAGATATGCTGCGACGTTTGTTACTGATTCTTTTGGGGAGGAGCGTATGTCCGGATTAGCAAACACGAGAGCATTCGGTGATATGCGCTCTAAGCGCATAGGCGTTTCCGCCGAGCCAGAGATCAGGCGTGTAGAGATATCTCCAGCTGAATATAGTTTCTTGGTCTTGGTTTCTGATGGCGTTAGTGGCACATTGTCTGACCAGGAGATTGTGGATGTAGTAAAGGAGGCAAAAACGCCAGAGCAAGGGGCCAAGGATGTTGTTGGTTTTGCTACAGAAGTGAGCAAGGAAGGAGACAATGCAACATGCTTGATCGTTAGGCTCGGGGGCTGGGAGAGGAGAATTGAGGGTGGCATGGGAAGTATGGGGACTAAGGAGGTCAGAGACTATAAGAAGGGCGAAGCGATGGATCCTAGGAGAGCTAGAACTTAGTATTTAAGTACATGTGGAGATATAGACTGTAGAGCAAGACTGAATGAAGTGCGTATTTAGTAAGAGCCCTCGTGGGTCAGTTGAGATTGTTTATTTCTCAGTAAACTTGAACGTAAAAGGTTTGCCAGATTCGGATCCAGGAATTGGCCCTTACGTCATATTCACATGATGTGATCTCTGTTATATGAAACTTCGAAGGTTAAATCAATCAATCACCCCAAGAAAACAATACAATCATGCCTTCAAAAGTCGACGCTGCTATCTTAGAGGCTCTCTCCCTCGATCCTGATACAGCTACAATTTCCAAGCATGGGGGAAGTGGATTTGCTGAGACCTTCAAAATAAATGGCACAGTTGATAGAAAGCAGAAGCTTTTCTTTGTAAAGACTGGAGGGATGGACAGTGAGGATATGTTTACTGGTATGAAACCTGGTCATTTTACTTTTTATCGGAAATATATAGGTCCCTCGTCGATGTTTTTAATCCAAGTATGATATCAACCACGAGCTCACCCACAACCACATTAGGAGAACACGCATCTCTCAACGCCATCCACTCCATCGTGCCTACCCTCTGTCCTAAGTCATACGCGCATGGACCTTTAGAATCCGGAGGATTTTTTCTAGCCACGGATTTCTTGAATCTTAATCCGCGAGATGGAAAGCCTGGATCGGGAGAGTCTTTGGCGAAGAAACTGGCAAAGTTGCATAGCACACCGGCACCGATTCCAGAGGGATATGAGGAACCTCAATTTGGATTTCCTGTTACGACGTGTTGTGGGGAGACGCCGCAGGATAATATGTTTAAGGTGAGTTGGGCGGAGTTTTATGGGGAGAATAGGTTGAGGAGTATAGTTAAGAAAGCGGAGGCGAGCAATGGTGCAGATGGGGAGTTGAGGAAGTTGGTGGATGAGCTGGTGGAGACTGTGGTTCCGAGATTGTTAGGGGATGAACATTTGAAGGGTAGGGATGGAGAGAAAATCAAACCGGTGGTTGTGCATGGAGATTTGTGGAGTGGGAATCATGGTCGAGGGAGGATTGGGGATGGAGGGGTTGAAGAGGTGGTTTTTGATCCTAGTTCTTGTTTTGCTCATGCGGAGTTTGAGGCGGGGATTATGGGCATGTTTGGTGGGTTTGGCGAGGGGTTTTGGAGGGAATATCATGGGGTTAGGCCGAAGGATGAGCCGGTGGAGGAATGGGGAGATAGGTGTTTGTTGTATGAATTGTGAGTACTATATAGTAATATGTGGGTTGAGAGGGGATGCAGGGGATATTTGCTAATGTGTCAGCTTAGGTATCCTCATTTAAATCACTATGCGATGTTTGGAGGTGGGTATAAAGGCGGTGCTGTGAGTATCATGAGGAAGCTTCTGAAGAAGTACGGAAAGGAAACTTGATATGGACAACAATAGATCTTCATGAAAGACTTTACAATTTCGAATGATTTCTGCTCAAACTGTACACTATCATTGTCTGATTTGTATTGAATGGTCCCATTGTGTTTCGGAGTATTCTTATGTTGTATCCAACCTTGGTGTTGGTAGCTACTTCTCATGTTCCTAGATGAAATACAGTTGAATATGAGGCATATGAACAAGGACAATAAAAATAAAGTCTAGAATGGAAGTTATAAATCTGTTTTTGGATTAAAATCCTTGAGATATACGTATACTCGTTAATTAATGTTATCCATTGTTTGAAATCGGACAACTTTATTAATTCTTGACCTATGGGATGGATGGGTCCCTGTCTAACCAAAGTTCACTAGATGGATGGGTAGAAGGAGCTCGGACCTTTCAGTGTTAACCTAGCTAGGATTTTCAGTTGTCAAGGGCACTAATAAAGAATCTGGCATATCTTCAAACCTACAAATCCCCTCATCAATAAAGTACATCACGTCGCATATTCTTCAAAGGTGTGGAGTTTTGGAAAAGCACTATAGGAACATTGTCGCGCATGGCTCTATAGTCATTTCATATCATTCACTTAATATTTGAAATAGCTCAAACGCGTCTTTCCTCTCATCTATTTACGCGTAGCATACGATTTCGATCTCAACATGGCACCCGAACAATCCGCATCACCGCCAGCGAGGCGAAGGACAGGTGCAAACAGAGAGAATCAATATTTATTTAACTTAGGAGTCAAGGGAAGGTCTGTTGCTGAGCGTTCTTTTTGTTTATCCTTTGTTGACAAATGATTAGGAAAACTGGGGTTGAGCTTCCCGATACTGGAATTCGCGATGCAGATGGTTTGGAGCCAATGGATGATCTTTTCTCTCCAGATAAACCGGAAAGTGTTAAGACGAGCAGAAGCGCAAATGGATTACAAAGGAACGCACTGGAGGACGCGACAATATCTAGTGAGGAGGACATGGATATGGATGGAGAGAGTATGTCTACACAATCAGAAACGGGCAAGCGCGATGGGCAATATTGACATATTTCTAGGTACAGCTCCGGAACCTGCTGAAGTCCTGAGTCAACGAAGACAAGATGCGCGAATAGCCATGCCTATACCAAGATCGAGGTCGCCCTTAAAAACACACTTACAGTCTCCAGCCCGCAGACACCCATCACTGGGCATATCTTCTCCAGCCAAAGGAGGATCTAGCGAGGCCGACGACACTGGCCCGGTTCGAAGGAAGTTGGATTTTTCGACTGAAGATATAGAAAGTGAAACGAAACAGGCAGCTAGTACTCGTGCTCCCAAGGGCCGAGGGAGACCAGGGCGCCCAGCACTGGGCAACCTTACGAATGGCACTCGACTTTCACCTGGAAGACGCCCTCCACCAAGTTTCGATCAGAGTAGTGATGCGGTAGAAAACCAGGACGATAATGCGTTGGAGCTCAACGATGATTCAATTCAATTTAATGCCCCAGATGACGATTATGACGATGCTCCGGTCGATGCGCTCGAGGGAAACTCGGAAATAGAAGAGGACGAAGAAGAGGAAGGAGGGGAGGAAGCGGAGGAAGGGGAAGAAGAGGCCGAGGAAGAAGATGAGCCGGAGCCAGAACCAGAACCTTCTCCACCTGCCAAAACCACGAGCAAGAATAAGGGGAAAGGTAGAGTAATCGAGGAACCAGAACCAGAGCAGCCCGCGCCGAAGCGTAGAGGCAGGAAGCCGAAAAATTACGCACCTCCGGTCGAAGCTGCGGAGGAAGAAAGGCAAGAAATCGAGGAAAGACCTGCGAAGAAAGTACGACGCTCAAACGAGGCTGCTGAAGCCCCAAAGCCTGCAAGGGGCCGGCCCGGAAGACCTAGCAATGCCACAAAATCCGCGACAGCATCCAAACCAGTGGCGAAACCGAAAGCTCAAGGTCGACCAAAGATGGCTCCGATACCTGAACTCGACTCGCCTCTGGTTCATCGTGGTCCTCCTATTCCTCGGAATAATGGCCTATACATTCTTCGGCGCGAGACGACAACAGCAGGCACAGGTATGCAACGAACGCGAGCTGGCCGAAACTCGATCAAGCCACTCGCGTTTTGGAAAGGTGAACGGGTCGAGTATGATGATGATGAAACGGTACCAGATGGAACTCACGGTGCCAAGATTTTGTTGCCTAGCATCAAAGAAGTTATTCGTGCAGATGAAGTTGAGCAACAAAAACAGTCGAAATCGAGGTCTTCGAAACCCTCCAAAAGTAAAGCGAAGAAGAGGGCGCGAGAGGAAGTCGAAGAAGATTCCGAAACTGAGGAATGGGAATCTCAGCCTGGTCGCATTGAAGGTTCAGTACGGACTTGGGATCCAGAAGATCAAGTTGGAGAGAATGCTGCAGAGACAATGGAAGACCTTGCGTTTTCCTCTGCTGCAATTAAGACTCGAGATATTCCAAATGCTTCGTTCAAATTCGCCAAAACTCTCACATTACCATTTTTTGGTTCAGGTATGGTCGACCTGGAACCAGGCGCTGTTAAAAAGCCCAAAAATTCGAGGAAGATGCAAATGGTGTTTTTCGTCTTCTATGGCCGAGTCGAAGTCTCGGTCAATGGAACCTCTTTCAGAATTGGCAAAGGTGGAATGTGGCAAGTTCCTCGAGGTAAGTAAATATAGTCACTAATCTTTCATTCACTCGAATACTAATCCAAAGCAGGCAATTTTTACAGCATCACCAACGATTACGATAAACCCGCGAGAATATTTTTTGCACAAGGTTGTGAAATTGGGGACTCGGAGGGCGGCGCAGCTCCAGCAGCAAGCCAATAATGTATAGATAATGCAATTGGTGTTTTGCTGTTTTTCCTCATGTTTTTCGGGGTTGTGCCCTTACATTTGTGGCGCTACAAGGAGGAAAATGGGGTTTATGTTGTCACGTTTGGTTGGGGAGTTGAATGTTGAAGGTTTTTTGATGATACCATGCTTCTCATTCACTGGCGAGCAGTTTCATGTCGACGTCAAATGCACAATAACGTGTCTATCCTCAGGGACAAAAGTAGCGTATGAATGGATTATATCCAACCTTAAATCTCTTCCCTTGACTGTTCATTTTACCTTTATAATGACTATTTTGAGAGCAAATGTGGAAACACCCCGTCAGTATTGGCCGGTAGTCAGGTGTCTGTTCATCGAAATGGTTTTAAAATCTGATCGAAGGGGGTTCACTGGAAGCTGGAAACTTTGTTCACTGGGCAACCCATGTGATTAATTGGGTGAGAAAGAAAGTATTGTACGCGAAACTGTCGCGAACGCGTTTTCCCAAAAACCCCAATCACAAGAACGCCAAACACTAAAGACTGATAAATTTTTGCATCTCACCAGCATCAATTTCAAATATGGCAGACTCTCAGATGAAAGTAGATGTTGCGCTCGAGACTCCAGCATCCGAAGTTTTCATAGCACCCTCAATCAATCAATCTCTACTACTCTCTGGCGATTCATATCGACATTATTCAGATGTTCCTCCGTCACTGCTTCCCAAGCCAAATACCGATGCTTCCAAACCCGATGCGCCTTCAATTCCTGGCCCCGCATGTGCTTTAGGAATTGATGAAGCTGGGCGCGGTCCTGTTCTTGGTCCAATGGTTTACGGGTTATTTTATTTACCTTTACCTCTCTCCGATCCTCTCTTACGAAACACACACCATTTTGATGACAGTAAAGTCCTTACACCAACAGTTCGTTCAGAACTCATGAAGAAACTCTGCACACCAGACTCAGATTTGTATACACAATGTGGCTGGGCGGTCGATGTTCTGTCGGCGAGAGATATCGGTGCCAATATGATGAAGCCTGCGACTTATAACTTAAATGCACAAGCTATGGATTCTACTATCGCATTGATCCAGGGAGTGATGGATAAAGGAGTCAATGTGAAGGAGATTTATATCGATGCTTTGGGCAATACAGTTACATATCAGAAGAAGTTGGAACGCATCTTTCCCACAGCTCAAATTACAGTTGCGAAGAAGGCAGATAGTCTGTATCCATGTGTGAGTGCGGCAAGTGTATGTGCAAAGGTTACCAGAGACGCTGCTCTGGAGACATTGTACGAAAGCTACGTTAGCAAAGACGGGGATCAAGAGATGGGCGGGACGGAAGTTGCTGAGGATAGTTGGGGTTCTGGATATCCCTCCGACGCGAGAGCAACTGCATGGCTAAAACGGAACATGGATCCCATATTTGGATGGGGCAGTGAATGCCGTTTTAGTTGGGGAACGACAAAAGATATGCTGGATTTAAAAGGTGTTGCGGCTAAAGTCGATTGGCCCATTGAGGAAGATGATGAAACGAGCAGGTTAACGGATTTCTTCAGTGCGGATAAAGATAAGGATACAGATGAGCTCGGGACATGGTTTGGAAGCTCAGTAGGTACGGAAATTTTCTAAACCAGGCTGATATAAAGCACGAGCGAGCAGGCGTTTTGGCGGGGTGCAAAAATGGAGTATTAGATACCTAGGTAGGTATGCTCTGGTGTAAAATTACCGGAGCCGGACAGTCTCGCTGAGTCGAGAAGAAATAGTCCTTGGTTATGTGTACCTCATAATGTAGATCATAATCATAAGAAATGAGGAAATCTTAAATCTTTTTGAATCGCCTGATAGAATACAGAAATCCGAAAATTGTTCTTTCTTACCTACTAAATAGCACGTTTCCAAGTCTGCGGGTTGTGAATGTTTATTTATACCGTAGGGAAATTTCCTCAGCGACGACCAATCAAAGATTTCAGAATGGACGAACACGGAAAATGGGGCCTGTAAACATTAGCGCAAAACTTAATTTCTATCGACAGCTTCGAAAAAGTCGCATCGTTACAAAAAAGTTATAAGCTTCTCCCAAGCTTTAACTTTTCCTTTTCAAAAGGGTTGAATAGCGCATTATCTCGATTTGTTATTACCTTACTTATCGAGAGTTTTTATTTCTTATTTTCAATTCTTTTCCCTCTACAATCCTCAAAATGTCGCTTTTCGGGAATACCAATCAAAACAAACCATCACTTTTTGGTAATGTGAACACAGCACCGCAAACGGCAGGAGCTAGTACGGGAGGTCTTTTTGGTGGTCTAGGTACTGCTACTAGTCAGGCACAAAGTACAGGAGGAATGTTTGGTGGAATGGGAGCTACTAGTCAACCACAAACGAGTGGTGGTTTATTTGGAACAGCAACAACTAAACCTCAACAACAATCAGGAACTGGAACTGGCGGTTTATTTGGAGGACTTGGAACGACTCCAGCAACACAATCGCAGCAAACAAGCGGTCTTTTTGGTGCGACTACACAACCCCAAACGACAAGCGGAACAACTGGAGGTCTTTTTGGTGGTGCTTTAGCTCAACCCCAACAGCCGCAACAGAATACTAGTGGACTTTTCGGAAACACAACTACACAACCCAACCCTTCAGCATCAATGTTCGCGCCTACTCCACAACCTCAGCCTCTCTCACAATCTCGGCAACAAAATGGAACGAGCGGTGCCTATTTTGATGCCATATTGGAGAAGAGCCGGAAGAGGGCACACGATGAGGACTCTTTAGGTTTACAATTAGGCTTGGGGGATATACGCCAGCGCATGAAGAGACTAGCTCCTACAACTAAAGATGGCCCTGTTGATGGGAGAGCTCATTACTTATTGGCAGCTTCTGGCGTGGATCCAGGTGCTGCGCTAAAGGATTTAAACTTGTTTACCGCTGCGACAGGAAGACTCGATAAAGCGCCACCTCCAGAACCACCCGTTGACGCGGATGTGGAGGCATACCTGACACGACTGGAAACGCAAACTACAATGAGTATGATATCAGAAGGATTGGCACGATCTGTTCGTGATTTCGACGACTTCCTGGAGGAAAATGTTGCCATGGAATGGAGCGCACAGCGCAAGAGGATATACGAGCATTTCGGCATCAAGCCCAGAAGAGAACAGGGAGCAGGACCTTCAGCAGAAAGTTTTGCAGCTACAACTACGGAACCCACGGGTGGTTTTGGTCGATCAAGACGGGGTAAAGGACTTGCTCCAGGAGCATCTAAAGGACCTGGAATTCCACGGGCTAGCGTTTTCGGAAAATCAAGCATGCAAAGATCTGTCATTGGAGCTGTTGCGCCAGGAGGGGCCGGGAACCGAGCACTATTTACTGATATGGAGAAGACAGACACGAATGCGTCGCCCCAAGGCCCTAGTGATCGATTCCTTCGAGAGAAGCAGGCCCGATACATCGAAAAGGTCCAAAATCTCAATGGTGCCAGATTGAAAAATCTTCACTACCCAATTGCCCACGAATTCTCGGCTGTGGTAGGTCAAGGTGGTGAACAACATTCTGCAGACGTTTACAGAGCGTATCGATGCTTGATGGAAATTGTTGGGGAAGATCCTGATCCGGATAGACTACAACTTCCCGGTGCGGTCAAACAGAGGCAATTTGCAGCTGCTTATCTAGACGATAATACGAATTCCGCGCAAGCGGCAGATCTGAGAAAACGAATACTTGGTGGATCACTTCGATATCTCGAGAAGGAATTTTTCGAGAACGTTGAAGCCATGGTTGCCAAAAATCCCAGGGAAGCACTTGTGGGCGGTAGACCTACTCCTCTTACGAAAATCAAGGGTTATGTTCGCCTTCGTTCGGCCCGCAAAGATCTTGTTACGGACAATTCCGCTCTTCAGATTTTTGAGAATGATTATGTGTGGGCTGTAATCTTTTACCTTTTAAGATCTGGCCATGTTGAAGAAGCCAATGCTTATGTCCAAGCTAATCGCGACGCATTCCGTGTGATCGATCGCAACTTTATGTTTTATATCGCAGATTATGCCAATAGCCCGGATAGAAAATTACGGCATGATCTTCAAGATCGTATTCACAATGAATACAACCAGCGAAATCGAATTGCTCCTGATAATTCTGTCGATCCTTTCAGAATGGCATGCTACAAGGTAATCGGCCGGTGCGAACTCTATATTCGCGCTCTGGATCAGAACATTGTTCAGAACCAGGATGACTTTGTCTGGATACAATTTGTCCTTGCCCGTGAGGCAAACCGTGTTGATGAGATCGCCAGCGACGCATATGGACTCGTCAACGTACAAAAGACATTCAAGGACATTGGTGCTAGAATGTTTTCCAAAGGCAATGAAAATAGTGGTCCATTCAGTGTGTACTTTGTGCTTCTGGTACTTTCGGGCTTATTCGAGGACGCAGTCGACCTCCTTTATCGCCATAGTATTTCCGATTGTATTCATTTTGCAACGTCACTTGCCTTTTACGGTTTACTTCGAGTCTCAGATCCAGATGTTGCAGAAGGTGGATTCATAAGTTACACTATAAGACAACAACCTCAAATAGCATTTGGGTTAATGATTGGATTCTACACTGCAGAATTCAGAGCTGCGAACGTCAGTGCTGCTGTGGATTATCTTACCCTGATCTGCCTTAATAGTGATCTCAAAGGCGACGTTGGTTCAAAACAAGTTGCATTGTGCCACGAGGCTCTTCAGGAGCTGATTTTGGAAAGCAGAGAATTCGCTTTGTTGCTCGGTGATATCCGTCAAGACGGAAAGCGTATACAAGGAGTTATCGAAGAGCGCCTGGCGTTGATCAATCTAAGCAGCGCGGATGATTTCATGAGAACTGTTACGATACAGGCAGGAAGTGTCGCGGATGATAATGGGCGTACTACTGATGCAGTTTTGCTTTATCACTTGGCGGAAGAGTATGACAATGTTGTTAATATCCTCAACAGAGCCCTTAGCGAAGCTATTGCTGTACCCATAGGCCATAGTCCTATGCGATTACAGCCGCTTAAGCCAAGGCCTGCGGATAGATCCGGAAAACCCGCCCATGCCAGTCTCAGTCTTACCTCAGTTGATGACCCCGTCGAATTGGCTACGATAATGACGAATCTTTACTCAAATAATCGCATGTATCTCAACAAAATCAAACAGGAAAACCGTGCTGCTTGCGAAGCTTTATTGAATATCAGTCGTGCCAAGGAGTTTGTTGAGAACAGAGAATGGGCCTCAGCATTAGATGTAAGTTCTAAACTTTAAATTTCACAGATATTAAGCTAATTAAACTTACTACAGGTTGTGAGAAATCTTGATATTCTCCCCTTGAACGCTGAGGGCAATCCAAGTGAAATACGAAGTTATGCCACCAAATTCTCATCTCTTCCCCAAGAGGTTGCAAACACTATACCCAGTCTATTGATGTGGACGATCTTGTGTTGCAATAGTCAAAGAACCTCTCTTATGAATGCACAGTATGGAGGAAATGAGGGTACGAGACGTTTGATGGTTGCTCAATTGAAACAACAAAACATGGACTTGACGACATATACCAGTCAATTGAGATACCGATTCCCAGCCTCTCTTCATGAAGCTTTAGCAAAGGCTCAATCTGAGTAGGGGAGATGAAAATATGATATGAGCGAATAGTTTAAGTGTACATTAAGATAACACACACAACGGGAAGATTAAAAGAGCATTTGAGCCGTTATTTGGATGGAATGAATGAAATGAATTATTGGGTCTGTCTACTACTTCGTTGTAGTAGATTTTTACACTTTTATCATGGAAAAATGCTTATTAGATGAGGAATAAATTGTGTCATTGAGACGATTAATTATAATTAATTAATAAGTGAGTGGTTAATGAATGTATAGTGTTTTGGTTTTTATCTTCCAATGACAAGCAGAGTGATGTCTCATCCTTCTTTCGATTGGTACATGGGGTGCGGGAACTTTTCCCTAGTGTGGGATTTGTCCGTGTCCTGATTGTGAGACTGAGAATAATATGGGGATATTTCAGCGGAATGATACTCACAATGTTAAGGTTATTTTAGTGTTTGTATGGTGAAGAAGCATTGGCAGAAAGACAATAATAAAGTATAAATAAACCCCTGTGATTAATTATACGAGCGAATCATAACAAATCTCTATCTGAAGCCATCGAAATCTAGAACTACTAGGTGTATTTACTATAAGACCTTAGAACTTCTCCGCTAATACGCTAAGTAATGCCCAAAAGTCCTGACTGGTGTACCTTTACTCGTATCAAACTTGACATTTTATTAGCTGGGTAGCGGAGCGTTGATCCAGGCACGAATAACATTTTATCTTAGCTCTTTGGAAAAAGAGATTTGGCTTCAAATCCCAACACTTTCCTCTTCTCCATTATTTTTCCCGAACCTTTATATATTTCTCCATACCAAGTGATTTACATGACTCGGGCGGAACCCCATATTTGGAAGTTAATGACGATATACGCATGAAAGTACCGCATCCCTCCATCCCTCTGCTCCATTCTATTGCATCCACGAAAACGAAATCGCAAATAATCATTTGATGTGTCTTATCTATTGGTAGTAAGACGAAATCGTGCTGTACCAGAAAGATTAGGACGTAGCCCCGCGACAGGCCGCATGCGAGAACCACGGGTTCTCGCAGATTCAGTATGACACCTGATGCAAATGCAACTCAACAGGGATCTACATCTCCATCGTCCGAACAGCGGCATCTGAGCGTGGCCTATTCTACACCTGGTGATCGAGAGGATGGGGAATCTTCAAATGCGCAGGGCGATGTTGGAGAGGGAGAAACTCCAAACGCTGAGCAAGCGGAGGGTAGTGGGGCTGGAGGTGCGAATAGTGGAGGGGAATCTTCTAGAAAGAGAAAAGATCCACCGGCCGATGAGAGGAGGACTGGTGCAAGGGGTGTGGCTAATTTGACGCCAGAGCAATTGGCGAAGAAGAGGGCAAATGATCGAGAGGCCCAGAGGAGTATAAGGCAAAGGACGAAGAATCAGATAGAGGGGTATGAGAGGAGGATTAGGGAATTGACTAGCCAGCAACCGTACCAGGAGTTACAAAATGTAATAAGGCAGAAGGAAATGGTGGAGCACGAGAACTTGGACATTAAGAAAAGGTTATCACAGATTATTACACTCATTACACCGGTACTTGGTACTCATGGTCAGTATTGGGTTTGTAGCTCAGCGGATTCGCAGAGGCAGCTTGGTTGATAGCTAACTTGGCGAGGCAGGATTCGAAACCTCTCAACTACCACCTCAACCAACCTACCCTCCTCCCACTCAACCAAAATCCACAAATCGCAATGCATCAAGTCCAAATAGTATAGCCTCGCCCAGCACCGTCGCTGGACCTTCATGGCCAGCCACTACAGCGCCAATAGGCCCAACCCAAGATTCCAGAACATTCATTCAAACACAGCAAACACAGCAATTAGCACAACAACGACACGATATGGTACACAACCTCGATATAGGGCCCGAAAGACTTGGTCTGGATTTTCTTCTAGAAGAAGGTCAACGCCATAAAATACCCATTCCCCCTGCTGGCGCACAAGAGACTTTTGGATGTCAACCAGCACAAAGACCAATAGAAAGTGTGAGTCCCAGGGACACACATCATCGAAGCAATTCAGTAGCTAGTAATGCCACAAGTTATCATGCTCCAAATCCAGCCTCGGGCTCGAGCCCAGAAGTAAACGGTTTTACCGCTCCTATCCGAAACGGGCCCCCTACATGTCCTTTAGACAGCCTCCTCCTCGACTTCCTCCACGAGCGCCAAGCCGCCGCATTCGATGGTCTTCCTACCCCAAAACTTGTAGGACCAGCTTATCCTTCCGTATCCAGTCTCTTGAATCCTTCCCGTGGGATCACTTCCCATCCCGTCTCAAAAGTCTTCACTGATATCCTCGCCACATTTCCTGACCTTTCGACCTTACCTGAAAGAGTAGCAGTCCTCTATATAATGTTTCTTCTCATGCGCTGGCAGATACACCCTAGCCAAGCGAACTACGATCGTCTTCCCAGCTGGATCACTCCTCGTCCCAGTCAACTCTTCACTCCACACCCAGCATGGATCGACCATCTTCCTTGGCCCAAAATGCGTGATGTCCTCGTCCGCGATTATAATCCTCGTGATTATCTATTCGATAATTTCTTCATCCCGTTTACTTCTACATTAAGTCTGAATTGGCCATATGAACCTACAGACGCACTTCTAAATTCTGGAGGAGGTATAGGAGGAATGGGTTTAGGATTCAGTGAGGAGGGAGAGTTACTAATCAATCCTGTTTTCGAAAGACATCTCAGGAGATTGGAGAATTGGAGCCTGGGACCCGCATTTGCAAATGCGTTTCCAGGGTTAAGAGATACGTATCGCATTAAGATTGATGGGGACAGGCGGTAGATGAGAAAGGGCGAAGGTGGGATTTTCTTGTATAAATTAGGGCTGGGAATGGGTAGATTGAGTGATTCGGATGAATAGATTATGAATTATCATATCATACAGGTATTCCTTTTTTTTTCCAAGTTTGTATAAGGAATACAAGGGAACAAAAAAGATGAAAACTAGAAAGAAAGACAAATTTCTTTCTCGTCAATTTAACGTTACTATGTTATTGTATTATATTTATATTTATTTTTTATATCATAAAGATTTTAAAGTGGATCATTTTATTTATTTATTAATTTCATTTATAAACGGGATTCGGGACTGGAAATAAGATCAAGGTCAAGATCAAGATCAAGGACGAGAGGGATAAGCAGGTATATTACATGGATGCTTGGGAGTTGGAGGTTGAGAATGGAATTGTGACGCCTCACACCTCCGGGTCACGTGGCATGCCCCGTTTGTATTTAATCACAGGAAAACTCTCTACTCTTGTTGGGATGCGAAGACTCAACACCTGTACGCGGTGCATCCTACGAACCTCCAGCTCTCTTATGAGAGTCTGCAGAGCTAAGTTTGAGTCATTTGATGGAGTCGTGGTAATTGGAAGAGGAAGAGGCGCCCGATCACGACGTTTTTACCCGTTTGCGGTTTTTTGACAGTCGCATTATCGGTGCGCTCTCTACAACACTACCTTTATTACGAAACAGAGGGCAACACCATCATCTACGACAATACGCTACGAAATCATCTCACTTTTTAAGAGTGAGGCTCCTCTGGAACATAGAGTACAGCTCGACATCTTTGACGCGTATATGTTGTATATCGTATACCTCCCATGATCGACACGACCGAAACGGCAACAATTTATATACCTTCCACACGGGAACACCGGAGGAGTACTGTTGAAGGACCTGAGCTGATGACGAAACTTACTCTGCTCTCATTCAGCGGAGGTATGCTACTTACGGAACTGGGACACCCGTACAAGCCACTACCTGTGCATGCTATAGTTACGCCATATGAGGATTGGTGCTCCTTCATAAGCTTTCTATTGGCAGGATGATCAGAATGATGACGAGGCAATCCTGACGGTGGGCGATTACAGTACGTTCTGGTATATAAGGAGCAATTAGATTGGTGGTATCGGGAAGGGGATCAGGGATGAAGGGTTTTCGAGTACAATGTTTTAATAGCATGAGGGGAAGGGAGAGAGATCAAGAGCCAGTGATCTAGTGGACGAGGATGACCACAATAATAACCTCTAAGCCATTGGCTTCAACCTGTCGCGAAGGCAATCATGTAAACCCTGCCCTAGCCCCTTAAATTGTATACAAATACCCTCCCTAGCTAGCTAGTACACTACTCAAAGGCATACTCCTCTGAGCGTCATTTGTCCAAATCTGGAATAGATGGCTAAGGTTATCACGCGCCAAGGCGCGTGGGCCTACGGCCTATGACGATAAACACAATCAATCAATCAATCAATCTCTACTCTTGTTCACAAAATTATAGGTAGCACTCTTGTTACTCGATGGCTACCCCAAGCCCCCCAAACCTCTCTAAAACACTCTCCGACAAGGCCAGCAACCTTCTCAATAAGGTCAACGATGCTCAATTCATCTTCAACCCAGTTACCCAACTCCTAGATACCTACCTAGGCTCTAAGGAAGCCCGCGCTCTCCCACCGAGTTCACGAAGACTCCTCACCTCTCTTTGCCTTGAGTTTAAGACAACTATCGAACAACACTTCGATACCTTTGTTACTGATCATCCCCCCCTAGGAGAGCTACTACTCTGTTTATCACCCCCCTTTCTCTTTCTTCCCCCTCAACCACTACCTACACAAATACACCCACAATGTTCATAGACCCCAAACCCTTTTACATTCAGAAAGCCTCTACTTCAACTATTATCCTTACAAATAAGATTCCCTTCGATAATCATTTGTTCATACGAATCAATCAAATACACCTAGTTTGAAGCGCTGGATCTTTTGCAATCCTCACAGCCCTAAAGAAAGTCCTCGGACCGAACACCTCCCTTTTAAGGGAGGTCTAAGAGGTCAAAACAGGCTTCGCTCTTTGTATCAGTTCAATAATCAATCTATTAGCCCTTAAAAAACAGAAAGCTATTATATTATCCACAATCGAAGACTACAAAATTGAGATTCAAGAAAAATAAACCACTTACTATCTAAACTATATCTCTAAGAAAGTTACTATTTTCAATAATCAATTCAAAATAAACTCTATTTTAATTACAAAAGATATAATCTTCGATATTATAAAGAAATTGTGACGGAAATCCCTGCTTTCCTCCCACCCTTATTATATAAGAAACCTCAGGTACATTAACCATGTCCACACATGATACGATTACTCGAGATTAGTATGCGATTTAGGTGACCTGAGGATCAGATCCGGACAAGTACTAGGTATCAATGGTTATCGGTAAAGTAAGATCATTGGAGGAATAAATATGACTTCTTTTTGCCTAGCTATTGCGGCTAGGCTATTCATTTGTGTATATATAGAGTAGCTATCCCCATCTACAGGTGCTCTTCACCTGTAGATTCTAAGTTAAATACAATTGCTGGTCTATAAACACCCTTTTGGTCACACTAAAACACCTTCTCCAAAAGACCTAGATCAAGCCACATCATCCCTTACACAAGCCCTTACAAAAGCCTATATAGGATCTATAAGAAGATCTATAAACAAACTTTTTCAATAACTTTAATAAAATGAGAATTATATAAAGATTATATATAAATACAGAATCATTAATATATTTATATTCAAACACTCTCTCTAAAAGATAATCTAGAAAGCAAAACATATCTTTTATATTATAAAAATAAATAAAATAAAGAATATAAACAATATATATCAAATAACCAAATGACATCAATCTATAAACATATATCGAACCCTATCTTTAACAAATCTATCAAAACAAATTATTACAAATACTATCAAAGAGAAAAAAGAAACCTTCATTAACAATCTATTAATAAATTTAACTAAAATTGATAATATCCTATTCGATACCTTTACAACCTTAAGCAGATCTATTATCTTCTGTGACGGAAATCCCTGCTTTCCTCCCACCTGTCACACTCAAGAATACTGGGTAAATGTTACGTGACGGTTGTTATCCCACTAGTGGCTCACGTGCACTAGCCCTGTATATAAAGACCTCCTTACTTAGAATCTTCTTAGTTCTTTAGTTTTAGATTCTAAGTAATTGAATTGACTCCGTTTACGACTTTTCCGTCACATTAAAGTATCTTGTATTAGAAAATACTAAGCTAAGGAGAAAAGAAGAAGGAAAACAAGAGTAGCGAGTTTTCCTATGATTAAATACAAACGGGGCATGCCACGTGACCCGGAGGTGTGAGGCGTCACACAAAGGATTTTATAGAAAATAATGAGATGATAAGGAATAAAATTACCAAGTATTTTTTTGCTACTAGTTAGTTATTAATATTCATTAGTATTAAAGTGAATGGTTCCTGCGTAGCACGTACACAGGGCACTAGTCCTGTTAGGACTAGATTGAGAAGCTCTCTTACAGAGAGCTTCGCACTTCCGTAGAACTTAAAAGAGAGATTAACCTACTAGACCAATATTACCTCAGTTCTGCCCTATCAGCTTCCCACTATTCCCTGTGTGAGGTCATTCCTTTTAACAATTAGTGATATTGAGACGAATATTTTTTTGTGATGAGACGACAATTGATTACGATGTGATTATTCCAGTTCCACTTTCAATTTCTATATATTTCACATCACACATTGTAAATATTCAGTAGTAAGAGAGCGAACTTCAAAATCAAACCTTTTATTCTAATGTCCTATGGTATTCCTGCAAAACTTTTGCAAGAGATACACTATCGTGATTTCAAAATATGTAGCTCAATCCATCCCATCCATTCATCCGTCCCAAAGTTTCGTTCATTCGTCAAAAGTCGTAGTCTCCTAAACTCAAAACCATTTACTCCGGTCCCCAGCCTTCTATCGCCGCATCGACTTGATCTCTATATACTTGTTGAGTCTTGCACTGCTCAAGGAATACCTTGTACTTAACATCCAACAATTTCTTTTCATCGGCGTTTTTTCCTGGTCTGGTAACCTTGCCTGGCTTGCTCATTCTATCCATGATACTCCATAGCTCCTCTGTCTTGCCTTCTTTATCTGCACTAGCTGCTTTGGCACCCAACATGGCGGCACCGTGGACAACGGCTGCGTGTACGTATCTGGGAATCAGGACTGGCATGGCGCAGGTGGTAGCCATAAGTTCCATGAGGATTTTATTTTGACATTGTGAGCCGGACATGAAGATAGAGGTGATGGAGTGTCCAGCATTATTCATTGTTTCCACGATTTGTCGCGTTTGCATGGCGATAAATTCCATGGTGGCATAATAATAAATGGCTAAACCATCCATGCTACGGTCGTTGGTAAGACCAATAACTGAACCAGTCATCTTTGGGTTGGCAATAGGCGAACGGTTACCCCATAGATCACCGTAAAAGAAGAAGTGGCGTCCAAGGTATGAGATGGTTGGGGCGTTCTCCTTCTCCATCAATTCCTCGAGATGAGAGTTTAGGTAATCGTAAATACTGGTATTAAATGATTCCGCCATGGACATAGCCTCATTATACGCTGGATGGGTCTCCAAGACGTGTTTGAGGAGTTCACCAGTAGCCGACTGACCACCTTCTGCCATCCAGTAACCGGGAAGCAGAACATCTCGGTAAGGACCCCAGACTCCATCAACAAAAACAGGCTCGCGTGACATTGCCAAATGGCAAGTGGAGGTACCAGCTACAGCTGCAAGGCGACTGAATGCTTGGGAGATGTCATTCTTGGGTGCTCCGGTATCAAGATAATTTGTTCCAAGATTGACCTTCGCACCAACAGTACCAATCCATCCGGCATATGCGTCAATAACACCACTTCCTATAGCGATACCGGCTGGAAGTCCAAGTTCATTTCCGGCCTTTTCGCTAAGAGTACCAACAAGTTCACCGGCGCTGAGATAGTTGCCATTCTGCATAGTCATGTTAGCACTCACTCGGATGATTCAAAATCATAATTTGCAGTTAGAAGCGGGCTTACTACTCCATCAACTCCTCCCATTCGTTTGAAGTTATCTTTTGCAAGATCACCCAAACCAATGGCTTCGTAGAAGTCCTCTTGCCATCCCTTTACACTTCCGTCGACACCGACTGGGACAAATCCCTGCTTGCAGACAGTACTACAAAAGCTTCTGCTTTCATTGCCAGTTGCAATATGTGTCAAAGCATCCGCCAAATCGTAGAACTTGCAGCGATCGAAGAGCTCAGGTGGCATGTTGTTCTTTAGCCATAGGACTTTGGGAATTTCCATCTCAATGCTCATCTTTCCTCCAAGGTATCGTAGCAGATTATGTTCAGTTGCATTAATTTTCTTTGCCTCTTCGACTGGCCTGTGGTCAAGCCATAAAATAACGTTGCGGTCATTACCATCATTTGCGAAGTTTGGACCGGTGACAGGTACAGGTTCATCAGTATCCTGTGAGAATACTGCTAAGGAGCAAGTAGCATCAAAACCGATACCGCGAATTGTTGTTGGGTCGATGTTGTGTTGACTGAGAGCTCTTTGCACACACATGCAAATACATCTCCAGATGTCTGTTGTAGACTGTTCATAGTATCCGACTTCTGGCTGCCATAGACCAATGTTCTCTGTAGCCACTATCAAGGATTAGGCCTTGTTACTTGATACTGAGGACGTATAACTCACAAGCCTTAATATCTCCTGAAGCATCGATAATACACGCTCTTGCTGATCCAGTTCCAACATCAATTCCGACTGTTTATCACGAGAATTAGCTAATGTCCACAGGCAAAGAAGTTTCTACTGTTGAAACTAGTAGAATTGTCTCCTCAAGTCCTTCCGGAGCACGAATCGAAGAAAGAAATGGGGCAAAGCTTACTGAAATGATCTACATGAGGGTTCAAATCGTTATGCGGACTATAGACACATCAGCACAAAGTGCCATTTATTCTTGTTATCGAAGTAGCAATTGGGCCTAATTTGGCGCCAAAACTTCTTAATTTCGAACCAATTCGAGGTACTTGACGAATTTATATTTCCAAATCCGACTATCTGAGCTCAATTCGAAACGTCGAAGTCTTGAGTGTTCAGCATCCACCATACCCCAATGTCCGAGTTCGGCGCGAACATTCAAACATGATAAATTGGTAGTTTTGAGAATGAAAGTAGAAGAGAAGTACTCACTCCATACTCGCTTGACGCGATGGTCTGGAAGATATATAGTCAGTACAGAGATCTAATTATGCGCAGATGCATGAAGTATTGGGGTTAAAATTGGTACTGAAGAAGACATGAGGCTGCTTACTTCCTGTAGTTCTGACGGAAAGGCAATGAGTGATTCATGATGCCGGTATTTGTATTAATTCCTTTGTTTATTTGTCTCTGGATGCCCAATTAGCAAATCTTACAGAGCTTATCGATGTATGTAGTGGTAACTGATTCCACTGGATTGGCATAGCATGCCGTGTATGCCAATACTCTTCAATGTTGGTGAAAACTGGGCGGCATGGCGGGGTAAAGACGTAGAATGCGTACCTTATTGACACAGTTTGGGAGGGTAAATAGTAGATCTAGTCTTCTATATTTTTTTAAAATCTAAAAGGAGTATTGTAGTCGATGGCGCCGCTGCGAAATAGTTGAGATGTTATGGTATGAAGGATGAAGGCAAGAAAACAGGAAAAAATCCTTAATCTATGCAAAAGTACTTCACGATGCAGACTTGAGCTCGACCTGCTGAAAGCTCCAGCTTTTTTATCGTCATAGGCCCCCACCTTTTGCTACCCTTCCCCACTTAAAACTGCAAACCTACCAAATAGAGTGCGGGACGACAGTAGCTAACTACAAGTAGGCACTTTACACTTAACATAAGTGATTGAGGACTTGGCCCTTGCCCAAGAAGGCACTTTTGAAGTCTCATCATCTGCGCGTACCTTGACGAAGTTGTGCCATTCACTCACCAATATTCTAGAACCATGATTTTAACTTATACGACCTCCAGTTAGATTTTGAAGACGTGGGAAGGAAAGGTAAATAGAGTCCTCGTATCAAACTGAAGGAACAATATTGCTATTACCTATTACCATCGTCTTTGATTTATTCGTTGATATTTATGCTATGTATGGAATTGAAGATGATAGGAATGTTGATGGATGTCGATGACCTCAAACGAGCTTCACTAGACCCACATATTTACACCCTTCGTGCAGCATTCTCGAATCCTTTGCTACTCAAGTGGCAAAAAACAGAGCGAATTAGTGCCATGGAAAGTAGATCTTGAGCTTATTACTTGAAAAACAGGGTGATGATCGTTCGTCAAGTCCGGTATTCGGCTAGTTCACCCGCCTTCCTGCTGTTCGGCCTATGAGAAAATCGAGCCCAAAATCAGGAAACTATGAATCGGCTTCAGATTGTTAAAATACCAAATATGATTGAATCGATATCTCTTTGCTGCTCATGCTGTTGTACTGTACAAATGCCGTTCCGGCTACTACCCAGCCTTCTACTTCCATAACTTCCCTAGACTGACTTCCTTATCGTCGTGCTTGTTCAATACCTTCGCTGTCGCCAGGTCAAAATCCTCCTGGGTGACATGGACCCTACGTTCTCTCAGTGCATACATTCCAGCTTCCGTGCAAACACCCTTCAATTCAGCCCCCGAACAACCGTTCATCTTCTCTGCAATCTTAGTCAAGTTGATACCACGAGTCAGGTTCATGCTGCGGCTGTGAATCCGGAGAATATCAGCTCTGGCCTCAACGGTTGGCGGTGGAAACTCGATCTTTCTATCAATACGTCCTGGTCGTAAAAGTGCTGGATCCAAGATGTCTAAACGATTGGTCGCCATGATAACCTTAATTCCCTTAGTTGGCTCGAAACCATCCAATTGATTCAGTAGTTCCAACATGGTTCTTTGAACCTCAGAATCACCACCTGAAGACCCTTCCACTCGTGATGATCCAATAGAATCGATCTCATCCATGAAGATGATGGAAGGCGCGTGTTCTCTTGCCATGACGAATAATTCTCTGACCATTCTTGAACCCTCGCCAATGTATTTTTGGACAAGCTCGGAGCCAGATACTCGGATGAATCTGCAGTCGGTGTGATGTGCAACAGCTCTTGCCAACAACGTCTTTCCTGTTCCAGGAGGTCCATACAAAAGAACACCCTTGGGCTGTGCTATACCGAGAGATTCGAACAGTTCAGGATGCTTAAGACCAAGCTCAATGACCTCCTTAATTTCCTTTACCTGTTGATCCAAACCACCGATCATATCATATGTACTATCCGGGACCTTTTCGACCATCATGAGGGAAACAAGAGGATCGACGGATGACGGCAACATCTTTTCGAGTTTGTAGGAGTCCGACAGAAGAGTTACCCTCTTTCCCACAGTGAGTTTTGAGATATCAACACTATCCGCAATATCGACAACTTTATCTATAATTAGTAACGTAGACATTATACATATACGATAGATTCCATACCATATTTGCCTTCTGGATGCACCTTAACCAACACCTTTTTCGTACCCATTACCTTTACCACCTCACCAACATAGGATCCTGGCTGTTGTAATAATCCAAGTTCCTCTCTTAGAAGTCGCACTATCGCAATTAGTTGACTGTTTATATATCGTATGATTTGCGAAAGTACCTCTTGAGTTGTAATCATTTCGCTGAGCTTCTAATCTTCGTAGAACAGCTTGACCTTGGATGATCTCGAGCTTCATGCTCTCAATCTTATTATGAAAGAAGCTATCCAACGCCATGATGGATGAATCTGAAAGATGACGATGATGGTAGAAAACAGAATAGGCTTTCGAGTTATGATGGAAATATAGGTAGGTGGCTTGAACTTTGAATGTTGTTGTTGTTTCTCCAAGGCTGATCTTTTGGTGATGCGTACCTAAGGTATCACAAGTCCGCGTCTTACCTCTGATTGATTTTAGTTCTGTATGGAGAACACAAGGCTAGGAATTCCGCTCGGGTCACGTAAGGCTTACAGTTTTCTTTTTAGGTAGCAAGCGTAAACGCGTTCGGTCGGGTTTTCCTCGTTTCCCTAAAAGCTAGGTAGGGTATTCCGGCTAATAATCATATCAGATTCAGAAGTAAGATCTTTTTAGTAGATAGAATTATCATCAAGTGACTGCCTTTAGTAAGCAATTCAACAACCAAGAGCCAGTGAAAACCTTGGAAACCAATCAATCATCTATTATACGAGTACTAACGGATATATAAAGATCTAATAACCACCTACCTAGGTACCTAGGGATAACTAATAAGTCTTAAATCATGCACTCCAGATTTGAGGATCCATTTTCTTAAGAGCTCTAAAGATGTTACAAATAGATGCAGATACACAGATACAGATACAGATACCGGTACAGATACGGTGCCGGCCGATATTGTAGAAAGATGTTTAGATATCCACCTGTTACATACGATATATATCATGATACAGATGACCTTCCCATCCCCATCACTAATCCCATTCGTGAATACCGATTACCGATCTACCGACTACCAAATCAACGATGTTGAATGGACAACACAACACACGCAAAGCGAAAAAAGGACAACTTTGAACCTTGTTTACTTTAAAGAAACAAGCACAAATACCATCATTGCACATGAAAACGTCTTGGTCTTTCCTTGTCTTTATGCTCGAAGATACCTTAATTGTATAAGCTTATGAGCGGGTTCCACACAGATTTAGCTAAAAGATGGAAATAGCAGCATTCCATTCGATGAGAATCTGTGAGACAAACATGTTTTTCCGTATGCGCCTGATCTTTTTTTTCTTGTAGGATGAATGATTCAAATAGATTGTTGCTATCTAGGTAGGTAACCTCAACCCAAACGCCGCAACCTTGAGAAAATCAATATCACATCTTACATCTCACATCTCTTACAACCCGATTTCTTTTCCATCATTTCCTTATACCTTCATCTTCTTCTTCTCTGGTAAATTCTTAATTACCTACCAACCTGGTACTTAGGTACATAGTTGAGCATACACTCATACACCCGTAAAAATAATAGCATATCTCGCAAATTCATTCAAACCTCTCTCTTATCGAATGCATCACCTGCTCACTGCTGTGTTCTTCGCATGTTCAAGCTTCCACAAACACGGGAACTAATTCACACTAATCAAAGAATTCAGCTTAACCCGAATC